CGCGGGGGGTGCGGGGGTGGGGGGCCCCCGGAGGAGAACCCTCGCCCCCGCCGTGCCGCTTCCAAGTGGGCAGCCTGCCACAGAGGGGAAGAAAACCCAGCACCCCCCCCATGTGAGATCTCCAGAAGCACGGTTAGTGGCAACCCCCTCGCCCCAGAACACCGCCTCTGTCCCGGGAGCTGCCTCAGCCGCTGCAGGTTTTGGTAGCATTGGTGGTGTGGCAGCCAGACTTCCTTTCCTTAGCCCCTCCAGCGGCAAAGGGTTTGGTGGCTGCGGTATCCTCAGGTACACAACTGGAGGTTATCCACGGCAGAGCAGTCCCACATTGGGCCAGGGATACAAATGCAAGCCCGTGCTCACCAGCGTGTGAGGTTCTGTGGTTTTGACGCAGAGCCAACGTGCCGACACCAGGTATCTACAATATCGTCACAGCACGTAAGTCATGTCTACCTACAATACTACCTCAAAAGAATGAAAAGCTAAACCCACCCTGCTGAAGTTTGACTTGTTGATGCAAGAAGTCTAGGGATTTCAGGCATTTCGGTCCATTAAAAATCCCTTTTAACACTTGCAGAGCTCACCAGGACAATTGAGGTTGTGTACTCCCGTGCTGCCGAAGAGAAGTATATTCTGAAACACCAGTGTAAAACAGTTACATTTAAAAGACTAGTTCCTGCCTTAACACTTTCAAGAAACTTTGCTGCTTCTGTTTACTATTGCCTCTTTTAGTTCTTAGATTTACAAAAACATAGTGACCACTTTACAGGACAAATGATCGAAACTGCAGTTGTAGATTGGTAGAAAAGCACCCTGATACCAGCATAAGCTGCTTGTCATTCAGACCTGACTAGAAACATGGCACTAACTGGGTCATTGTTAAAATAAGATGCCTTTTTGCAAGGAAGTGTGTGGAAAGTGGAATGTGTACCTGGAACAAGGAGAAGAAATAAAACACGGTGAACTTAACAATATCATCTATAAAACTGGTAAAAACACTTCTGTACTAGAATACATGAAGTACTGTCATACGTTGTCTGAGTGTATCAGAAGTACCCATATATTGTATTTATTGTGGGCCCAATGTTGCATTTCTTGTACAGCATTTATTTAAAAAAAAACACCCAAACATTCTGGATGCATGCATTTTATATTATCTATTATTTAATTTTTATTCTTTAGATTATTATCCTGCTCTGCTCTGACTAAAGTTAGAGCGGTGTAAGGAGAAAGTGATGCCACTTCAGGCAGGATAATTTTAGCATTATTCTGTGTTGGCATAGGTTGGGAATCCCAGTACTAATAATAGATTCCAAAGAGTGTCATGCCAGATAAAAGAAATAGTCAACATTGGAAAAGTAAATACACTAAGAAGGGATGAGCTGAGCCATGATGGTCTGTTGTTTCAACATCTGTGTGCTAAGTGACATGACATTTTGAACATAGACAGTAAAGGTTTTAAAATGGCTTTTCTAAAGTTTTAAAAAATAAAGTGGGCAGGTGGACTATATATGGAGGATCAGTGAGAACTGTGCCAGTTTCTCCCATGCAAAAGCACCTAAGATAAACAGAATGTCTCAAATGTTCTGCTGTGCTGGCAGGTGTTGCTGCAAGAAATGTGAATAATCATTTGGGAGAAGCTGTGACCAATGCACTGACTCACGCACGCAAGATAATGACGTAATGAAAGACTCACATTTAACTACTCACATTAAGTACTCTTACGAAGGGAGAAAATGTGATTGCTAATCTAGCTGCATTGCTATAAACTGACTTGTAAATTAGTCATTTCAAGCAGCAGTATGATATTTAGAAATGAGGCTGTGATCATGAACTCTCATGTGCCTGGGCAGAATCCCAAGCCTGCACAGTGGCGTGAAAGCTTAGTCAGCCTGCTGGCCAGCAACATGGGTCTTGCTAATAGGTAGGTGGGTGCCTGGCTAATTAGATTGATGATGGTTGGCTGTGGACACATAGAACATGTTTATGTGAATACAAGTATGAACTTGCTCCAAACACATGCTGATACGGCCGGCTATGAACCCCCTGTAGTCTGGTTGCTAAATTGGTGGTGTTAGGATTAGTACAGTCTGTCAAGGAGCTGAGTTAACCAAAATACTTCACTAGTGTGGAGTCTGGACTGGACCTGGCTGGTGACTGGCTAGTTCCAAGCTCAGAATGAGCTGACTTGTTTCTATGTATAGGTGTGTACAGGTAACTTAGGATCAATTTAAACCCATTCTTAACTCAGTTTAGCAAAGCCCAGTTTACAGAAAGAAGTGTTCACACAAATATTTGCACCAGGATAACTAAATTGTTTTAAAATCACATTTTTATTTGAAAGATAGACTGGAGAGCATACCAAAATACTGGAGCAGCCTTAGCAGATTTCAAGTCTATCACAGATAGTGTTAAATGTAACCAATCCCTGCCACCGTAGTTGTAGCATTCTGCAAAGCAGCAAACCTGGGTTGTTTGGAGGGAGTCAGTGACATAATTCATTATTGCAGTGTGTGGCTTCATGCTGCAAAGTGTGGCTCAGCTGTTTGTCCTGACGTTTCTTCATTGTGGTGAAAATGCTTATGACCAAATGTTTTCAAATGCAGCTGCCTAAAATCATATTCCTGTACTCCTATTTATGCAAAAGCATGCACACAACTTGAATTTTAGAGGCACAGAGCTCCATTTCTTCAGTGCTCATTATCTCTGGAAATCAGCCCTTTTGGGGGTTGTGTCAAGTGTAGAATTAGTTTTGCTATAGTTGCCTAATACAAAAGCTTTGGTCTTGAGTATTTTTTTTATTTGCTCCTTTTGCTCTTTGCCATGAGTGTAGGATTGTTATTCATCCTACTGAAAATGTCACTAGACCAGCAAACCAAAAGCTTACTGCTTGTAATCAAAAGCAAAGATTGGTCTGAGAAGCTGTACCAGGAAATAGGAGAACAAAGCTAGTGGGAACTAAATTATTGTGGATAGCAAGACCCATATGTTCAGCAACCTAGTGAAATCCGTGTGCTCTTTTTCTGTGTGATTTGCAAACAGCAAATAGCACTGCATCCTTTGCTTCTGCATGCCTGGGAATTTTCATGGGTTAGCACCCAAAACAGAAATTTAAAACAAAATTTGGGAGGGCCTACAATGTAGCTTAGCAGGCATCTCACAAATGAGGGGAAGGAGGGCAGCAAGAATAAGCTGCCAGATATTAAGTCTGCAATATGTGGCTTAGTTTGCAAGAGTAGGCTGCAAGCAACTTATTTATCAGAGTGTGGTTCATTTCAAATTTAGGTCGATGCACAAACTGGTTTTGCCCAGGGATACTCTAGCTGATTGCATGTCTGTAGCCTTACTTTAATCTGCTGTGCAGGCCATACACGTGAATTGAAAGACATCTCTCTGACACTGAGGGTTTGTTACTCATCTCTCTGGATCCTCTTAGCATTCATTCTAGAGATGACTTTACTCCTTGGCTTATAAAATATACATTGGATGAACACATCTTTCTGAATGCACCAAATGCATGTATCTTAGAAAATGCTCTTGGGGAAGATGCTTCTGAGTTTCCTACTGAAGTATTACTTTCTTCTATGTTCAACCAATGTAGTTCAAATGCTGGATTAACTATGATAAAAGTTCTAAGGGCAGGAGATAGCATCAGAGTGTGTGTTCAGCCGGGTTGTTTTAATAACATTTCCATGTACTGTCCAAGTACTGCATGATGCCATTTCTGCTGGCAGGTGACTCCTATAAAATTTTAGTTTTGATGAATATGGCTACTGTAGCTGGATTTTCTCAACTGTCAGACATTTGCATTCATACAGAAAGGCTGTTTTGTCTTATTAGCTGTCACTTTGATTTGTAAAGAACTATCATGGGGGGTCTGCAACTGTGATGCTAATATATGGGGGCTGGATAACACTGCTGTTTCGGCTCTGATACAGCAAGGGCATGCACTTGACACAGAAGGTTACAGTGGTCTTGGTCAAACTTGGATATTAAAATATATTAGAAGAGACAGAAGCTTATGTATCTTAAGTGATATTTCTGCACTTCTGTAAAGTAGTGTGTGTTTTTTGTAGCTTGTTCTGCATTTGTGTAAAATATGCTGTTGTGTATTTTCTGACATTTCATTGTAACTTAGATTTTTCAGAACAAGCCAGGTAACAATTACATTGGGTATCGTATGGTTCTAATAGGTTAAATGGCATTCATTGATGAAATAGTTGATTAATATAAATATATTATTTTCCGTTAAAACATATGTGCTCTGCTGAGTTGTGTGAACTTATGTGGAAGTGTTCAAAAGCCTTAGTGAAATTTAGGATGAATATTAAAGGGCACTCAAGTTTATCTTTCAAAAGCTTGGGAAGTTAAAATAGATAAAAGTTATAGTAGCCTTTTAAATACAGCAGAGTATTAAAAGAATATTAAGCAATGGGTATTAATATCTTGTTAATTAACTCTTTAGTAGTATTTGGCTCAGTGTTCAGCTGTAACACATCTTGAGCATAAGGTTTATGCTGATGTTCAGTTTACTGTTGTTAGAGTAACTACCAAAAATGAATCCCTTTAAGATGAACTTCCAAAACTCATACTCCAAGAATATGATCCATTCATGACTCCTGTTAGTTCAGCTTGACTTCAGGCTGTAAATATGTAAAACTGGGCTTCCTGAAGATTGTATAGAAGTCCTGACTGCTATCGCTTGAGATAACAAGGAGTGCGTAGATATAGATAAGTATCTTAACTATTTAGCTTCCAGTCTGAAGTTGGCAACAGCAAAATCATTAAACTGTAAATCATGAAAGATGATTTGAAAGTTTTATTTTGGTAATCTGTTACATCAGCAGGATTTTCTTATGGTGTACATTATAAAATATCAGCAGAGTTGATTTATGAGAGAAGAGCATGCAAGGCAATTTCAAATTAGATCATAACAAAAGTAGGATAAGGCAAAGGAATCTGTTTTTTGTTCCCTGTGTTACTTTTCATTTTATTACATGCTGATCTTCTGCGTGGATCCAGCTGGCTCTGCCTAGTGTCATTCAGGTGTTTGTGCTGTGCTCCCGGGGACTCCCGGTTGCGCGGGGGCCCTGAAGGTGGCCCTTCATGGGGCCAGGGTGTGCCTGGCACAGCTCACACACTTGGGCTTTGAGCCTCACTTCTGATGTGTTCATGTCTCATCCATTTCCTGCTTAACAGGAGAAGCTCTTAGCTTATATGACTGTAGCTTTTCAATATCCCCTTAAAATCATTGCAAGGAGGAGCTTCCATCTAGCTGCTTGGCAGTGTCTTCAGTGTAGTGCTGCCAGTGCTTTTGAAGTCTTGCTGATGTCCTATTACCCAAACTGGAAATTACTTCCTTTTGATGGTCTGTAGCGGGCTTTTTACCTCATCTTAGCAGGTGATTTGCTGCTTTCTTACAGCATTGAAGTTGGGAGCAGAGAACAAAGAGGCAGGGAGCTTGAGTGGTTCAGAATTTTTCCCCAAATTGCAGGGAGCAGGAAAATGCAAGGCTGTCATGTTTGGTGGGATCTAAAAATAGCTGTAGTTGACTCCACCCCTCTATGACTTGCTTCCAGGAACATGATGAGCTAATGAATGTGAAGTATATTTAATGCATGTGCAGTCTATTTCCTACCATCTTTCAAATTCTCCCAGTGCCCTTAAGAGTTTTAAATTTGTCTTTTTTAATCCAGTTTTTTGAAATAAACCTTTAATATTAATGTGAGCTGATTTAATGCAGTATGAAATTCTGTTTCAGATAAATCCAAACAATTTGACTTCTATAGGTACATCTTCCAGCACTCAAAACAGTTGCATTTAATAATGAAAAAGTCAATAATCTCTCAAGTGTATTGGAGAAGTAATTTTCCTTTCTTACAGGACTTTGTTGTGGTCGTGCATTTTTCCTGAACCTTGAGAACTGCCTTAAAAGCATTGCTTGAACATTGCCACATGACTGATTTTACAACCAGCAACATTTGTCATGCTTAAAATGACTAACCAGTATTAGCATTTAACAGCTTTTCTGTGTGATATATAAGCTGTTTTACTAGTTATGTAGCAATGATATCAGTAAGCTGTTACGTTTTATATAAAGGTACACAGAACTAGGAGCTTCCCATCTAAAAAGGTGGATGCCTGTGAGGAAGAAACAAGTATTCCTATGAATCAGAAGGGGCTAATTAGCACCTTCTATGACATATATTTTAGCAGTCAATGCATTTCTTGAAGTTTGAAGGCTTTAGACTAAAACAGAAGAAGAAAGCCCCTTCAGGAAAAAGGATCTGCAGTACGCTCTGAGATTTAAACAAGCAGCTCTGTTTGTAAACTGCTGTAAAAGCCCATCTGATGAAACATTCCTATGCTTCTGTCTGCTGCTAGACGGCCAGTTTTGTGTTCTCCAGACGACAGGTCTTTCTTCATTAACATCGCAGTATCCATGCTTTCGTGGAGAAACAGCGCAGGTTTCTTTTATGCAGGGTCTTGATCTTTGATGAGGCACTGATGTAGGTTGTTTGACCACTGACCAAGTTGGTTTTGGCTTTACAGTCTGCTGTTGCTAGTGTATTTACAACTTGCATCTTACGTCTTTTGTTAAGTATTTCACACATACAACTGGCAATGATTGAAATTTTCCACACATTTTCCAAAGCATAACCTAAAATAAAATAGTAAATAATGTTAAAGCAAGACAGTTGTTAAAAATGTGCTTTTTAAGGACATATTGTGGGTTTTCATGGTCTCTGACATTTGATGCTTGCCTTTTGTTGTCTCAATACAGTAATCTTAACAGAGTTTCTTTTATGAGCCTGAATTTTGCATTTTAATATGTGTTTATTAGCCTTAGATTTTGCATCTTAATGAAAGTCTGAGATATAGTCCTCAAGCATTTTGCATATAAAAGTAATAGTATGGATATGTTAAAATTCAGTAATTGTTCTGGTAAGCTCATGCTGACTTAACTTTTAGAGAATACACTGTATTACCAATACAGAGGTCACAGTTTTACTGAGGTACCAAGACATTTCTTTTCTTGACTCTTATTCCCTTGTAGTAAGAGATTTGATTGATTGACCATAGCATGTAGAGGCAAGGTGACAACTTTCCCTCTGTGTGGGCTCAAGGAATGATGTTTATATTGCTGCGGGACTCCAGAAGAGATTATGCTGCTGAGGATGGTCACTTAGATGTTATGATTTTGCTCTGCTATGTAAATAGATTTGTGTTTATACTACAGAGCCTGACCCTATGAGTTGTAAAACAAATATGAGATATGAAACAATGTTTTTCAGAAGATTTGAAATCCAAAAGTGTCCTTAGTATCTATACTGACTCCTGAAATGGGGAGAAAAATTGAGCTTCAGCAAGAAGAAAAAAAAAGCTGCGCAGATTTTCTTCAGTGCGAATCTGGATATTCAGGACAGATAGTTAGCTGTGCTGGTACTGTAGAAGACTCGTATCAAAGGGAACCTTAATGCAGCTACACTCTCTCTTAGCTGAGTTTGAGTCATGTAGTCCAGAAGAGATTGGTCTTTGTTTTGGGAAATCAGTTCAGCTGTGCAGCTGCTGAAGAGGATTGAACTGAGCTGTCAGTCACTGACCCGGGTACCTGCACTCTGAACTGTCTGACATGGGGATGTAACACCGTATCTTTCTGCTGCCTTTGTACCATGTTCAAGGCGGTGGGTTGTCAGGTCTGTGTAACTGATTCCTTCAGCCTAGGTGAGGAACGTTGTGACCAACCATAAGGTAATAAATACAGCATGAAGCCAAAAAGGTCGAGGACTTAGCTGAGACCAACTGTGCCTTTATTCTTCCTGGGTAGTGTGACTAAAGGGAAAAGAAGGGAAAAAGAACACATTTGGTATAAATGCAGCATTATTCTCAAAAGTAGTCATTTAATTTTATACAACAAACCAAATTGTGTTGCTTCTCCTTCATCTCTTTCTCCCTCTCTCCAAATATAACGATTTCATTTAGCCTTACCACATCAAGACTAGTTGACAAGAAACAACTGGAGTATTTGCAATTATTTTAAACTGTAGAGATTTGTTCGCTGCTGTCCCTGGAGGCCTAAAATGCTGTTTCTTTGCCTCTTAAAATCCTATTAGTCTTACTTTCTCCATCATTATGAGGGTGATCATGTTTCTGTTCCTCTCATTAAGTCACAAGCTGTCTTGATTTTTTTTTTTATTTCCAGCCCAGTCATTTCTTATGTAAAAACAAATCCTGCTCCATCTAGTTTGAGTATGAATGATTACAGCAAAGAGGTTTTAACCTATATAAGTAAAGTCAAGTATTAACAAAGCTTTGCTTTCACATAGTATTTCAAAGGTGAAAAGGAATATCAGGATGAATGAAATAAGGTGGATTTTGCATTTGCAGACTGTCTGAAATAAGTGCTCATCTAATGGATATTATGATGCATTTCACATAGTAAAACTATTACTAAATAAGTCTTGTAATTTTCTTTTTGTTGGTCTGTTATTAGGATCCATACTATAGATTTAATGATGTGATGTACAGATGGATCTCACTGGATAACTGGACTTACAGCAGGACATTCAAAACTCCTTTTGACATCAGGTATGCAGTAAACACATGTCTAAAATAGTTCTGTGCCATCTTTCATGCAGAATTGCTAGCTGCTTAATACTTTCGTGTCTAATAAAACAAATTATGCAATAACAGCTGCAAAGCTGTTGCTAAAGAACACTTCAGTAGTTGCTTTTTCCTATTTTTTTAAATTGTTAAAAATTACTTATGAATTGCCAATGAAGGAAGGATAATACTTAGGCTGATTGGAAGCTAGCCCATCTTATATCTGGTGGGCATGTGAACATGCTGTGCTGCAGACTTGAGCCACTTCAGCTGTCATCTTAATTTGACTATTTAAAGATATAATGTAGCCATACTAAGTCAAATATTTCTGGAGGTAGTTGAGACAACTGCTGCTAAAGATAATGGTGGCATACATTTTTATATTGTCTGTCTCCTGTGTGTTTTTAACCCTAGGTATTCTAACAGTTTTTTATGCATATGTTATCTTCTGTAGAAAGTGGCAGAAAGTGAATTTGGTTTTTGAGGGAGTAGATACAGTAGCACAGATCCTGATCAACAATATCACTCTTGGGAGAACAGACAACATGTTCAACAGATATGTAAGTAATGTGTTTATTTCTGAAGGTGCTTCTGTTTTTTCTTCAAAGCCATTTTGTGCTGAGCATTTTCAGTGCATTCAAGTACACATAAAAATAGGTCCCTGGACGCAGGAAGTGTTGACCTAAGGACTGCATGTGTAATCAGATAACTGTTAGAAAGAGAAGTGTACTTATCTTTTCAGTAGCAGCAGGGTCAGATCTGGAGGTGAATGTGTCTTGTTCTAAATGAGTGGACCCATGCAACAGGATCACTTCAGCTAATAATATAAGTCTTGCTTCTTGGGATCTGTCACAGCTCCAAGAAAATATAAGCTTAAATCTGTTATATTAGCTGTAAGTCTGCTTACTAATTGGTATTAGAATGGTTTACATGTAAATACCGAAATGAAAATGCACGTGTTGCAAAGACTTTGTGTTTCCATGCTCTTTTTGTATAGGGTTTTTGATTTTTAATATTGGTCTTTTGATAACATTGTCTTGCATTTTTGGGCTTAGCCTATGTCAGCATGAGAGAACTCATCATGGAATGATCTTGAGAGTGGCAAAAACAGTCAAACTAATTTTATAGCTTTAAAATATAAAATTATTCTGGGTACTGGCGTAAGGGACAATCCTTACTTTTCTCTTAAAAGAATCAAAAAAGAAAAACTTAAAGGAAGAATGTTAGTGGAATAACTGAATTACAGAGGAAATCTGGTGTCTTCATATCTCAGCATTTACCATTCTGGCAGGTTTTATTGCAGTGGTACTGGCCTGAGACATGAGAGCTATATTCTGCCACCTGGGTCTGTGTGACCTGGGACAAATCACTTAGTTTCTCTGTGCCTTAGTTTTACCATCTATAAAATAAGAAATTTCATAGAGCTTTTATGAAATTGTAATTATTTACTATTTGGAGAGTATCTAAAGGATTGCCAGTAGCAGGCTCTGTAGAATTGGGAAGTGATATTATTTTGCCCTTATTTCTGCAACTTCATTCTGCCTCAGATTGTAACAGTTCATGAAATGGCCTTCACTGTAAAACCAGAGTGAACTGTTTTAAATTGAGCCTAGGATTACTGTGACCCAGACTTCTGCTTTGTTCACCTGTTCCACATAACTATGTCTGCAGAAAGGACTCTGTGAAGGCTCTGTATGGGGGATGCTATTTGCTTTGTAATTTTCTGCTGTACGCTACAGACATAAGTGATGCTAGCTGGGCTGCTCACAAGTTGGAAAAAATTGCCAAGACTTGGCTTGTCACACTGTGAAGAAGAAATGGGTATTAGCCATTGGAACCATATTGTCTTGATAGCACAGGGTAATTCTGAAACCAAACATTTATCCTTCTGTCCAACCACACTGAAGTGGATTTTGTGAGCCAGTGAGGAAGCCCCCACATGCTTTATTTGGTGCTGGCATAGAATGTGTATCTGTACATTTGGGGGTAAGCGTGCAGTTGGCATGAAATACACAGCTTTGCAGCATTCACGCAAAAGGCAGCTCAGTGTTTTGCGGTAGGTAAGCTGGCAGCACAGTGTGAGTTGGAAGGACTCCTGTATAGACCAGCTTTCTGTGTTGGAACAAGGTGTCTTTCTAAAGATGCAGATGAGTTCTGAGTGAGGAAGGAGGGTAAAGATTCTCTTGCCACCCTTATCCTTCAAACACTTCTGTGAGCAAGCAGAGTGCTGCAGCCTGCAGTGGGGGCTCAGTATGGGGAAAGTGGTTTGCCCAGAAACATCTCCTTGTATCTGGAATGTTACTGTGTATTTTCTTTTTTCAGCTTAAGAAGCAGCTTTTCGTTTCCTTCAAAACCACAGTCTGTTGAGATCATAGTTCAAATGCCTTTGAGTAATATATGTATGGTAGTAAAATCCCAGTGTAACAGTGATTATAAATCTCATAAATAAATGTCAGCTCTGTAATGATTTTCTTCTGTTTTCTTGACCTAGAGCTTTGATATTACCAGCGTGATCAAGGAGGTCAATTTTGTTGAAGTCCGTTTCTTATCAGCTGTTTCGTATGCAGCAGAGCAGAGCAGATGTCACAAAGCATACAGCATTCCCCCGGCGTGCCCTCCACCTGTGCAGAAAGGAGAGTGCCACGCTAATTTCATCAGAAAGGTAGGGGCAGAATTATCTTGTCCCTGGCTTCAGGCTTGGAAAGAGGAATGCACCACGTGCTGTCCTTACAGATGTATTCTGAAATCTGCAATGTCATTTTATAAGTAGGGCATATTTTTCATTGCAGCTTCCTTCTCCTGTCCCCCCAGAAACCTGTAATCTAGCATGTCGATAATACAAGAGGCATAAGAAGGCCAGGCTTCATATCTAGGCGATAAGAATGTTTAAAAGGCTGTTTTCCTCAAGGAGTCAGCAAGGAGACTTGCTGCTAAGAGAGCAGGATAGCATTGGGAAATGTGTAATCATTACATTTTGATCCACTGGGTGGGTTTAGCAATGTATGCTGACAATAGAGTTTACTGTTGCAAATACCAGTGTATATTGCCAAGGCTGTAAAAATCTCAGCCAAGCAGCTTTGTGAGTGTTTGCTATTGCTCATGTGCTGTGCTATTTATACAGGGCAGCTCTGGCATGTCCCAAGAAGTGTTATCCAACAGAGGACCTGTTCTCATCTTATTGCAGTGCTGTGAAGTGTGACTTTTAAGTACATATTCAGTGAAAATAACAATGTAATATACAATGAATGAAGCTCAGAAATTCTGATTTAAGACATGGCTTCATCGCTGTTAAAACTTACTCAAGGCAAACTATCATTTCAGTAGTATATATTTCTGATAGCTTTGCAGCAGCTAGAGACAATAGCTAGGTGATCTTATTTTGAAATTTCTCTTTTTGGGTGTTTGTCTCCACTTAAATGCTTTTCTTTTTAACAATTTTTAATCTTTTCAATAAAGTCCTTCTAGATCCTCCTCAAAAAAATTACTGGAATCCCGTTGATGTAAATCTGGATGTGATTTCCTTTAAAATTTGTTAATGGAAAGATAGGCTCCATGTTGTCCTGGGAAGATCCTTCAGGATTAAGATGTTGTCTTTATTACTACTTGCTGCTAATTTTATTTTCACAGCATTTTAGAAAGTTGATTAATTCTTATGAGTTCACCATGTTTCTTAGAAGTCAGTGCAGGGAGGAGCTTGGAAGGAAGAAGGCACTTAAACAGCTGTGGACTTATTTATAGAGCAAAAATGGCCAGGAATTACTTTATGCTTTACTGAACTATACCTTTACATTTGTAAGAAACTACCTTAGTGCTCTTCCTCAAAGGAGTTGTTTGACTGTACTTGGAAGCCGCTTCAGACATTTCCAGAAACATTTCTAGTTCCAAGTATATGGCAACAACAGCAGTGATGTCACATTTAAAAGTAAACATACTAGAACATTGCTAAAGTAAGCTGGCTGCTTACCATCTTAAAGTAGTGGAGAACTGTTTACACGTTTGAGGTTCACTATTAAGTGCAGTAAACTTATCTAAATCTTAATAGGAATTTGTGGCAAAACGCAAGCCTTTCACTGGTAATGTACTTCAGTGCTACAAGCATATTGTTCTTATGACATACTATTTCTGATAGCGGTCGCTGCAATATTATTAGTGAAACCTGACAATCTGTCAGTGATTCATTTGTTTATTTTTTATGAAGGGAAAATTACTTTCAATCTGACTTGTTTTCTAAGAATGTGTTGTCCCTGTTTTTACACTTGAAATAGGTACAGTGCTTGCTTCCTGGAAGGCTCTTTTGCAACTTGATAGGCAGGCAGGCTGACTCCAGCAATGCAAGGGATAGGCCAGACTTTGTGTGGTGTGGTTTGCCAAAATTAGTATGCCTCGGCTGTAAGTTATTAGTCTCTAAATTTAGAACTGTAGGTCACTGTACAAGACTTTAAGGAGATCTATTGTATTTGCTTTGGGGACTGGGGCTGTGTGAAGCTTGGAGGGCAGCTGAATAGATGTCTTCAAGGGATTTGTTAACTAGAGGTCTGACCAGGTTTGAAAACAGCTAAATGGAGAGCAGTGTAGGTACTTCTCTACCTGACCAGCATTTTATAATTCTGACAGTTATTCTGATGTTGGAACCAGAACTAAGCTATTTCTCAACCATGTTTTTGTTCCCTTTGTTTTTGTATGAGAGAATCATAAAAAGGGGATAAACAGTGAACATGGCTGAACCAGACATACACATCTCTTTCCTTGTACTAATCTATGGTGTTACAACAAAAAATAGGGGATAAGGTATTTCAGATATACCCACAATTTTTAATTTGATATTGTTCTTTTAGATTAACATTTGTAACCATCGGTTTTCTGCTTACTTTGTGGTTTAGGTATACCATTAAATACTGACATTACAAACTAAGGTAATTCAGAGCTGAATTGAGAGTAACCTGCTGGTTTGTTTTTTTGATCTTTACTGGGTTGTTTAAAGTGGTGGGCTAAGTGGTATCTTGCTCTCTCACCAATATAAAATTTTGCTACATATGGATGTTTAATACAAAATTGTATTTTTTATACAGGTAGTAGAAGTGGAGTTCTGGTTAAGAAATAAGAGAAACATTACTGTAGGCTCTTCTGGGTTTATAGAAATTGGAAAAATTCTTTCAGTGCCTGGCAATATTTTATTTCTAGGTAGCAAATTATTTTTATTTCTGGCACAGCATCAATGTCTGTGTGAAAAATAGGCAATTGTAACATAATCATTCTGTATTCCAGGAGCAGTGTTCATTTAGTTGGGACTGGGGCCCTTCTTTCCCCACTCAAGGAATCTGGAAAGATGTTAGGATTGAGGCCTATAACCATTATCACCTGATTTACTTTTCTTTGACTTCTTTCTTTGGTAAGTCGTGTTATTACTTTTTATTGTTGTTTCACCTTTGGAATACAAACCATTTTATTGTTAAGCTCAATTAACTGCCGGTTTAGGAAAGGTTCTATTGTTTTATTATGACTTTGTGTGTAGTTCTTCCCACAGCACACCCTTTTAGGGCTTGAAACAGTGCTTCAGTACAAACAATAGTGATTAAAAATGTTAGAATTCAGAATCTTTTTTTGCTTGAAGATCTCCGAATAACTGCAGAAATATATTTAGTATAGCTAAGGTTAGTCCCTGTTCTCCTGTTTTGAAGCATTTCTTTTTTATTGGCATGTGTTTTCACCAAGACTCCCAATAAATATGTCTCACTTTTGTCTCACCTCCATTTAAAACAAAGGCAAAGCTGCAGTGGGAATTTAGTTTTGTGTTGGGAAGACCAATGCACAGTGAGCAGAGTTTCAAGAGCGCAGAGTTTTCAGGACATAACATGAAGTCTAAAGCAGTTGTGCTATGCAAGGATAATTTGTTAAGGCTGCAATTTGAGAGGATAGCCTCCTGCATTCCTGCTACCTAACTTACCGAACCGGTTTCCTCCCTTGACGTGGTCTTTGATTTTCCTCTCCTTTGTCCTGAAGATCATTGCAGCTGAGCAAAAGTAGTTAATTTTCTGTTGAAACTCTCTGTAAACGGTAATATGCCCCATTGTAGACCACCCGCATGCTTTCTTTCACTGCCTGTTGAGCCCAGTCTTCAGTGGAGTAAAGGCTAGCACGTGAGTCCTCTGCACTGGGTTGAATTTCAGCCCTTGGGAATAGAGTTGTTGTGTATGAATAAAAGAGGAAGACGTCACTCCCTGGCTGCTTTTAAAGCTTCCTGAAATAGCTGCAGGTCTTAGCTAGAATTAACGTGACTGGAATTTCCATGGAAAGCCCCAGCACAGAGTCTGTGTGCTCTAAAATTTAGTTACAGTAAAAATCTTTTCTGGTCCCTCCCACATTCCCACAACTCCACCTTCTGGTAGGTAAACTCTTGCTCTCTGGATAAGCAGAGAAAACCTCTTTCATTCAGCAGAGAGCGGTTTGGAAGCAGAGCCAGAGCTTATTAGTATTCAAACGTAATAACATTTGAAAAATAAGAGTAAATGCACAACTTGAATTTAAGCTGCTTATGCAGTTATATTGCTCATCAAATTTGGTGTCACAGCCTTTTGACTACTGAGTCTGTCAAAGATTCATTGTTCTTGATTTCTCTGCCTAGACCCACAGTTCATGCATTTAAGAGTGGGCTGGAATTCCTATATGCCCTTGGAAGGGAGGGAAAAAGCGCTGTAATGGCTGACCCTTGCGGGGTACGGTGGATGTTTTTTCAACTCCTTCAACGTTTCTGAAAATTGGTCTTCCCTGGCTAACGCTGGGTGTAATAAAAACTTGGGAACATATTCATTGCTCTTCATTCTACAAAAGACAGTGAAAATCAAACCAGGGCTGAATGCAATTCTTTGCTCTTGGAGGGAGCTCCCTTTCTATCCTGGAGGAAGGAGAGCTAGAATATATACATGAAAAGAGAAAGTAAATGGTTAGTAGTTTGTGTATCTAAAATGTGTGTTAGTTCTAGTTTTCCTTGTCTTCTGTTTTATTTGCTTTTGCTTACATGTTCATCTGTAATATTTGAAGTATAGGATTAGCCAGGCTATGTTTGTAGACACGTAACTTAATTGCTGAAGTCAATGGGAAATTACATGTTAATCTTGAGTACCCTAGACCCTGGCTTGCCTTATTCAGTAAGTTCTGTACAGGAGAGGACTGTCTGAGGTAACTGTAGAGAGATCTCAGGGAAGTCATTAACTTGTTTCCTCCACCACACTTCGGTGGCGGAAGGGACATAAAGATACAGCCCATCAAGTCTAGACACAATGGGCCCAATTCATCCCCAGCATAACTCCATTCATTTTGTCTAGTGACTCTGGGATGAATTCAGCTTGTTTTCTGTTAATACTGTTTTTGTTTAATCGACAAAAGTGATTGTACTGCCTTGTGATTACGATCTTTCGCAAAGAGTACCATGTTCATACGAGTGCTGACTAAAAGCAAATATAATGTCTATGGGAGTTGGTGGGAAAAAAATCCTTCCTAATGAAGTGACTGGTGTCATGGTCTCTGACTTTTGTACAGAACTCTGAAAACCTGGATGGCTTTTGAATGACAGAAAAAGTTATGAAACATAAATCATATTGTGTAGTTCTCTTCTGAATCTGCAAATGTAAACACAGATATCAAATGCACTAAACAAGAAGATGAACCTTGCAGGTCTGGTTCAAACACAGCCTGAACATTGTTAAATTTAATCTGAGGTGTTTGAATTGTTTCTTTTATGGGAGATCATGTTAACTAATAGGTATATAAACACAATTCTTAAATTCCCATTTTTTCTCCCCCTTCACTTAGTAAAGAGTGCTCAGCAGTGGAGTCTTGAAATTGAGTCTATTTTTGATGTAGTCAGCTCCAAACCAATTGCAGGTCTTGTGACTGTGAACATTCCTAAATTGCAAACGCAGCAAACATTCGGTGTGAAGCTTCAACCTGGAGAAGGCAGCATTGTGCTGCTTGTAAACATCAACAAGGTAAGGAGGTGTGTGTGGAACCCTAGCCAACTGCAAAATGTTTCTCCTGGTTTCCAATGTGTCTTTCTGCCCCCATGCCAGTTTTAGGTCTCCCTCTCCTTCCTTACTGTGTTCCTGACTTTAACAACAGTTCTGTACCCCTTACAGGATAGAACAGTTCTTTTCCTGTCTAAAAATTGATGTCTGTGGGGCTACATAGCTCAGTGTCAAAAAGTTGATGAAGCCTTTCCTTTACTGCAAAACAAAAAGATCACATAATCACCGGCCACTGTTAAATGAGCTATTTAGGTAGATAACCTTTGGATACCCTGTATCACTTCACCTAACTGGCAGTAGGCATCTTGTCTCCTATGCTATTGTTTACTGGACTGATTGAGACTAGAATATACTACAATATGCATGGTTCTCCCAGGAAAGAGAGGAAACATTCCTCAAACCTTTCAGTAGTAACTCTTTCAGGTAAATAAAAGCAAAAGAGCCCTGTAAAGAACTTGGCTGGCAGTAAGGTTGGTGGAAATGTTGTGGAGTAGTACTTCCTTACATTGGCTTGTAGTCCCTTGGGTAGACAAAACTCAGGAGGAATTTGAGAGAGGTAAAGGATGCTCTAATGAGGAGAGAACTCAACTGAAAAACAATGAATTTGGTATACAGCCCAGTGACAAAAGAGGAAAGAATTGGTCTGCTTACTTTCAGAAAGTGTTGGGAAGCTATCTGGTGGCAGACTTAATTCACCAACATTATTTAACTTCTATAGAATTTGTTTTGTTTGTGTTTTTTTTAGAAACTGTTGAGTTTCATCACACAGATGTAATTAAGAAAAGATAGATAGGCTTGAGAGATGAAGAAAATCAGTGTGTCTGTTCTAGTTGACAAATAGGTAGGTGTCTTGAATTAGGCAGTGAGCCCAGTGTAGCAAAAAGAACCATGAACTTTGTCTTGGCTTCTTGCTCAGAGCGCAGGGCCCTACTAGAGCTGACTGTGCAGAACTGAACCTGACAGCAGCAGGCCCAGGCCAGTGTGCAGGGTGGGAGTCCTGGCAGGCACAGTGGCAGCCACAGCTGATGGTGTTCTCCACTGGAGCCAACATCATAACGGGAGCTGCTGTCTGTTTCACTGCCACAGGGCACAGTTAGATTTGCGGGTGAGCAACGTGCTGTGAGCAGGAATTTGGGGCGTCTGACAGTTCTGGCCATTAATAATGTTTGAGGGTCTGCCCTCAAACCTTTGTATATTTTACTGGCTCTACTGATTTTCTCTATCACTGTGTAACTCTGCATTTGTTTCCCCAGTTTGAATGCGTTATGCATGTATTCTCAAGTTCTCTTGTCAGTTGAGTGGAGAAAAAGCATGTGTTCAAGGCAAGCAGGATATTTATGTTCTAGTATGCACACTCAGTGACTTGCATACTTATGTGCTTTGTTTTATTTTGACATGAAAGCATAAAAGCATGCAAACATGATTTTTGTTACTGTTGTCATCTGACATACAAGTTGCATGAGCAATTACACATACCCAGTTTCATTTAAAACAATCATTAGTCTCTGCTTAGCCTTTTCAGGGATTACATTAAGCAGGCACTGCAATGTGAAACCTCAAAAATTATTTTGATTTATTTAATTGCCCCATCCCCAACTTCAAAAGAAATCTGTTAGTGGAGTATGACTGCAAGTTTGTAAGGAAGCACTTCCTTCAGAGCAGAGGCAACAGTGTTTTATTATTCTTCGTACACAAAAGGCTTTGCTGCATGAATTCACATCAGCTGATTTTACAAGAAGCCCTGCAATGTGTTCTCATGTATCAATAAGCCTAATAGAGCCTTACTTTGTATGACAGACTTGTGTGGTGCATGTTAAATAGTGAGACCTCACCAGAAATTTATTTCTAGTTGAGAGTTTATTGCAGATTATGTTGCGAAGCCAGTAGGTGTTTGAGTGGTGTGTATCACCCGAGATGTGTAAGCAGTCTTCCTGCAACTGCCACACAAAGTGCTGTGTTGCTAACATACAGCATTTTGCTTATCAGCTAATGGTGAGCATGGGGATGACATCATTAGTGGCCAATGAGACACTCCAGCCGTGCCAGGTGGCTTTGAACACTCCCTTGTTGAGGCACACACTGATTTTGTGCTTCCATTTGTGTCCGTGCAACACAGAGATTAGTACTTCTGCACAAGCATTTATGATAATTCTGTATCGCGGAAGCCGCAATGTTAGTAGATACATTCATGATTGTGTCCAAGTATGGCTACAGCAAAACATATTGTTGGGCTGCTCTCTGGCCTCATTTTATTTGAAAAGATTGAGGCACTCCTTACATGACTCTATTCAGTGCTGATCCCTCCATTGTTTGGTTGCATGCATTATTGCTTTCTTTCCACAATTTTTGTGTTGTGCACTCAACTGGCAAATGTTGGCAATAGGATTGAGCAGCAGAAGTAGGCTGCTAGAATGAAGATATAAATATTGCTCTGTGACTAGAAAAATGAGAAAATTAAATCATTCTGTCATCCTAGAGGTAGTTTTTTTATGTTTGTAAAAATTATGGAGTACTAATGATGTGATTAGGAAGCATAGAGAAAAAGCAGAAAACACTGAAAAGAAAGAACGAACCTTGTAATTTCACTTAAAAGCTTGACATAAGTGAAGCAGTCAGTATGGTCACGTATTACCAAAGCCACAATTGAAAAATGTCACCTCTGTATATTGAATGTGGTATGTGATAGGTAAAAGGGTCAATGAGAGGAGGGGTATGATACAGAGACTAGCAAACAATATCTGCTCCTGACAGATATTTGAGTTTTGGGAGAATATTCTGTCAATGTACCTCAGTTGAGGGGTAGCAGCTAGACGTGCGCATGCACGTGTTTGTGTGCTCATGGCCTATTGTGGACACAAGATGAAGTGATAGCCTGGACTTCAGTGGAAGAAATCATACTTCTCTCTTTAAATGATTTTCACCTCAGAGCTGCAGCTGGAGACATCGCAGTTACCATGGCTCAGCTGAGACACAAACTCATTAGACTTGTGGTAATTCACTCAAAGATATCTGAGCCCCTAGGTGCATGTTATGCCTCTTTTTATACACATTGCTCTGACTTTCTCTCTTGTATGTTCAAGAGTTCTGCAGTGGAGGCTTGGTGGCCAAATGGACATGGAAAACAAACTGGATATAACATGACAACAACTTTCATCATGGAGGCAGGATACCAGATTGAGAAATTTTCAAAGGTGAGCCCTTCAGCTTGATTACAGCTGGCATTGCACAGCTACTGTTAGGACATCTGCTCTGCATAGCAGGTATCTAGAGCTCTTAAATATTTTGCTGGATTGTAATATGCATGTGAAAATGCTAATGAGAAAGAAGAGGTTTTTTAATGTCACAATGTATGTTTACCTGTTTCTGCTAGCCTTAATTTGTGTGGATGCCTTTACCTGCATTCAGACTGGAAGATGGCTTACAGTTAGTTGGAAACCTCAGAAAGGAAAAGATGTTTACTTCTTTTCTATCTTATGAAAAAAAGCACTTTTAAACTTGATATATCATGCTGATGTTTTTGTATCATGCACTGAAAAACCCTTTTAGATGTCTATAGATTATCTGAAGATTTATTACTGAGATTTTTCTTGCTAATTCAATTTTTAAAAAAATTTGTGGGATAGAAACATTCCTAAAAAGCTAACATACATTCATTTATTAGAATATAGATGTGCTTCAGGTTTAAGAAGAGGTAACATCTTAATATAACCATGAAAGTAATATTCAGGGATATTTGCATAACGGTTCCTGCAACACACTGACTGTATAATTTTCTGTTTGTTTTTACTAAAAAGTCTGGAAGAGGTAATTTTCAATTGTCCATTGGAAAAAAAAAATCATACAAATTAGACTGGTCTCCTTATGCCATCAACATGTGGAAACAACCAAGTAAATTTACATATTTATTAGGTGATTCTGATGTGTATTGCTTCACTAAAAGCTAATGTGGTCAGTAGGCATCTAAAATTGCTATTTGCTGTAGTATTTGTTCATGTGAAAAATCCTATGAAAAGCAGTAGCTTCTGGAGTCCTAGTCTTTATAGGGCTAGCCCTTAGTTTGATTGTGAAGTCATAATAATAATTCTTCACTGTTATTAGTGATTTAATTTTGAAACAATTAGAAAACCACACCAAAAAAACATGGCATATTATGCTTGGAAAAAGTGGTTGTAGGAAATATGGCTATAAAGCCTGTAAAAAGGAAAATTCTGTTGTTACTGTGTGAAAACTGCGCAATGATAGGAAAACTAATTGATTCCACTTGGGTAGTTGCGTCAGGATATTTCATAGAGCCCTGTGGCATATGATCAGAGGGACTCCATGGTCTACAAAAGATACTTGGAAGCCTCTTCTTTTTTTCTCCTTAAGGGGGGAAAAAAGCAAATGCACCACAGAGTGGGCATTATAAATTAACCAGCATATGAAGCCATTAAAGATTCATAGTGTAAAGTCTAGTATTCCTTCATGTGTTCTGTGAAGCTTTGTCTTGGATTCTGACAGACACACACACACACCACCCTGCCCCCGGCCTGAGCTGTACGAGTGGAAAAAGCCTCCATATGCAGTTTTTTCATGTTCTAGCACAATCTGCTGTCATGTCAGCAGGACTGAATAGCAACATTCATATGGCTTAATAAGAACTTTGAGTAGTTCAGGAGATACAATCAGGGATAAATGTTCCTGAAAGTTGTTCTATTGTCAGTTCTGTTGTTTGCCTAGTACTGTATTCAGGTGGAATACATTTCCCACTCCCACCCCTCTTTTTAAAAAGAAAAGAAATTGGGGTGAGACATTTCACAAGTGGTTTGTCTCCATGTGAGTATCTACATAACTTTGGACAGGCGAGAACTGTATATGTGAGAAAGCACAGCTTGGTCTTATGTCAGATTTGGCTACCCTCAGCTTGAACTACATGTTAGAGTAGTCTCCAAAACATTAACTGATCCTTTGGGAAGATTTCTGGGTAGCCTCCAAGTATGTACCTGCGGGAGCTCTATAAAGCTCTAGCCGGCTGTGCTGGGAACATCTTTGGCTGAGGGAAGTACCTACTCACTCCTGTTGAGAGTAGCAGAAAAACAAAACAGAATAAAGCCAACATCCAGGACAGGGTTGGTTTTGGTTTTGTTTTGTTTTTCTATTTGAACACTTTGGTTTAGAGTTTGTTTTTCAGGATAATGCGAAACAAAGTAATAGAAATTATCTCAGAATGAAATCACTTTTCTTGAGGGAGGGTCTATCCAGTCCTGTTTGCTATTGATAAGTTGTTTTTCTTCTTGCCATGCCTACATCAAGGAGTTTATTACCTCTTTCATTGCCTCATGAGGCACTTGTTTGCTTTTTGATTCTGTTTCCCCATGTTTCTGTATGCTTATTTCTTCAACACTGTAATCACAGTTTTTATTTCGTGAGGCTATTTTAGTACTTGGAAGATCTTAACCTCTAGCTGTCTTTCTCTCCTTCCCTCTACCCCCCCCCCCCCCCCGCCCCGGGCCTTTTAGCATGACTTCCAGAAGTCTTTCCTTTTGGCTTTGTAGTTTTCACACTGCTTTCATGCTGTGTGCTAATTTGTTAGGTCACTGGGGCATTCTGTGATCTTATTTCAGCTCTAGGCATCTTCATCCCTATTACTTTTCCTACTGCTAAATCCAAGAATGCCAAATGTGATCCACAGGTCACTTAACTGGGTACAAAGCCTTTGTATGTGACTTAAAAAGACAGGTATCTGGTTCTTAATTGTGCACAGAACCAGCTGATTGGTCTGTGATGGCTAGAGAGCCTCTTCTATTTGCTCCAAGACTGGGAGAAATGTTCAGTCCTCAGGCAGTAAGGTCTATCAGACAGATTTCAAGGTGGCCAAGGTCTCAGTAGCCAGAAAGGCACGTAACCAAGTATGCCAGGTGCTAGTTGTCTCCCCTTGCCCTTCTTTTACCCAACAAGGCAGAAGGAAGCTGCTGTAGGAACAGGAAGAGGTGCTGTGTTACCAGGTGGGGCCCCTGGGGAGCAATGGAGTGGGAACAAAAAGGCACTGAACCCTGGAGGCCTGGGAATCTGCGATGAGGCTGAGGAGCTCTTCCTCTTCCTCCTGCCGTATGGGTGGTCCTGGCTGCGTGTTTCAGCCTCTCAGATTGCCTTGAATTTGGCCAGTTGCATGAGTTCCACTTGAGCACGAATAAAGCAATATCACATTACTTCTGTCAGTAATATAAATATTCCATTACAAGTGCACTCTGAGACAGTCCCAACCTGCCTGATGACATCCATTAGAAGGACCTCCCAAATACTTTGGGAGCCCCAACTATAAATCCCATTCCATTTTGTGCCACAAAAAAGAGCTATGCTGGAGTCTGAGGAGTTTTTCTCAAAGTAATTGAATTCACTGGAGCAAGGTCAGAACTTTTTCACTAGTGTAGTACTCATAGTTTTTCTTTTGTAGCCTTCAGTAGTTAGGGTAACCATGAAAGTTGTATGAAATATTGGTTGTTTTTTTAATTCAACTTCTCAAGTTAAAATAAATCTGCAAAATTCTAGGAATGGGTGTTAAGACTCTTGTCCTAAAGCTAAGTTCATCATGCTGGTCTATATTCAACCAACCTAGTGTGCAACAGGTTCACAGTAGAAAAAAGGCAGGGCACACTGTCCTCAGCACATGTATGTGCACAGAGATATTGGACAGGGAGTCTGAAATGTCCTCTCAGTGGTCTGTGTAGTTTTTCTCTAGCTGGGAATTTCTTTAGTGGTACGGATGCTGAGCCCCACTTGCCACTAATCCACTGTTGCCTCCAGGGCAACACTATGAAACACTGCAGGACTTGGGGCAAGTCCGGTTTTTTTTTATTCATTCAGTTTCTATGTTTTGGTCATTGCCATGATGCAGAGGGGTTTAGTTTGAGGTCAGTGATCTGCAGCCTCCACTCATGCATCTAGTTTGTTATGTGCATTGTCTCTGTCCTGGTGTTTAATTAATAATTGTCCAGTTGACTAAGAAGCACCACAGAGGAAGCAAAAAACCCAGTGATTTTCTTTGTCTTCTCTACCACTAGAAATAATTTTCTGTCTATCTCTATGATTTTTGATAAGCTGAAAGTTTAAAAAAGACAGTCCCACAGTGGGTTTAGTCATTTTGCTGTTGAACTTCAGCCTTGTTTGGTGTGTGAAATAATTACATTTTTATCTTAAAGACAGGTATATCGCTTGCACTTAACTAGGTTAATTTTAGCCTGAGTTACTGACAGATACTTGTCTCAACCGTAGCTTGTGGCATAGAGAGAACAGACTGTACTCTACAAGCTGTCCTTTTGAAAAGGTGTAGCAAATAGTCATCTGAGAGAGGAGTGGTTGCTATCTTAGGGGTAGTCTAGAAAAAATGAAGTTCCTGCCCTCCTGACCCAAACTTATTGCTTGGCCTGAGTTGGCTGAAATTTGCTATTAGCTTTCCTTTGCTTTATTTAATTTCCCACTTATCTCCCTATGACAATGAGCAACAGGTAGCAGAAAGAAAAAGAGTTTTCTTTCTGGCATAGATAAGTTGAACTGGAACAGGGATGCAGGAGAAAAGGAAGTATAAAGCCTTCCTGAAAGAGATGTTTTCTGTAACACTTTGCAGCTGCACAGGAGCCTAACATGGCAGCTGCTCCGCATCTGCCCCCTGGCATGTGGGGAAGACACCTCTACAAATAAGGGGTCAGTGCAAAGTATTATTGCAGTCAACTAGCTGCTCTCACATCACCGTGAAATTGTCTGTGTTTATGTCAGTGCAATCAGGATACCCTTCAGAGCAGCACTGTTGCTTTGACTGAAGTGAAGACCCAGAAAATGTCCAGAATGATTTCTTGAGAACTTTTCTTCCACCTGCAGCAGGAAGGAGAAATGTTTTCTTGTTTCAGTGTCTGCAGTACACAATACCAGATATTAGACTGAAAAAGCAGCTGTAAAAGTTTGGCTTCTGCTTAGATGTGCTTTTATCTGGAATGACCTTTATTACCTTACACAGAGTTAGTGGTTATTTAGCTGTACTGGTCTCTCTGAAACCTTATTGCTGATCATGCTGTTCAAACACAGCTGCGATGGCCAGAGGGCCCTTCATTTCCAAACCGGCATTTGTGTTTGCATGCATATCTTTTTTCTCTTTAATTGCTACACCTATTAAAAAGGTATCATTTCAGGGCAGCAAAAGAAGAAGATTTTGCTTTTACTGAATGAACCTGAAGCTAGGCATTCAGGGACAAGACTTAGAGCTGAGCTGCTGCAGTGTGCTTCTGTAAGGAGAAAATTGCAGATTAAATGGTGTGTCTGATCTAATACAACCACTGTATTCCTATCTGTTCCTCAGCTGGACTTTCGACTGAATTCTGCAGCAAGCAAACATGCACCTGTCTCTTACATATATACATGCGTGCACATGCATGCTCATTTGTGCATGCTTTCTCTCTCTCTTAATAGTAACTTTAAAAAGTGAACAGGTTTATTGGAAGGATTCTTTTTAGCCCTGTTACAGTGTGTTTTAATCAAGCAGGAATTTAGAGATGAGACCTTATGTTTTGATTCCTTGACAAATTCTAAGCTGTTAGTGTTCAGCTGAATCCCTTTTGTAATGGTTTCCTTTATTTATTTTGTTTTAATTTATTTTTGTCTGCTTTAAATCTAAGTTTCATGTCTTCACAGGCCTATTTTCGGACAGTAGAACTTGTTCAGGAACCTATTCCTGGCTCACCAGGTCTGAGTTTCTACTTCAAAATCAATGGCCGACCCATTTTCATTAAGGGCTCAAACTGGATTCCAGCAGATTCTTTCCAGGACAGAGTGACCTATGACACGTAAGCCACATTTGATGTTCTCTAAGGAGAAAGGATCATATTTTCCTCCTCCTGATTCTCTGTCTGCCCTCTATCAAAGGGTGGTATTAGCAGGTGGAAATTCTTTCAAGGTAGGTCACTAATTGTTGTGGGTTGGAGGCCTCAGAATTAGGCCTTAATTAACATTAATAGATTTGAGTGATGTTCAAGGCATGCAAGTGCAATAACTGGTGGGAAGGTGGTTGTTTGCTGTCCACAGTTTACTGGCCTTTTGAGTATTTTTAGGGATGATCCTCAGGCTGTCTGATCCTATACTCAGAGGAAGTGCACTTTAGCCATGTCCTAACCCATCTCGTGCAGGGAGGCATAAGTGCAAAGTAGCCTCTCTCCCTTTTCCCCTCTCCGGTCCAGGCTTCTTGGATTTCAATGACACAGCACCCCGGAGATACAGGTGGGATGGGGGCCACACTGTACTTTGAGTAAGGTTTGCTCTGGGTAGTTGGGGAACCAGGACAACAGTGCATGCTGCAGTGTGCATTCACATGCAATTTAGAGGCTGCCAGCATGATTAAGGAAAAACAAATGGAGCCTGAATCCCTTAAAATGAGATTCAGAGTCTCGGGCTTTCTCCTCCCCCACTCACTCCCCTGTTCTCGCTGTGCATTCTGGAACTCAGGAAGAGAATTTAGTTTTCTGAACATGTTTAAAAGAGGATTTGAATTCAAGTGATTGCTATTTAAAGCAAGTAATATCTAAGGAGAAAAGAACGATGTGATTAAGAAAATATAGTATTTCTAAATCTGGTCCTGCCAATACTTCTGTAAAAGCACTTACTTGCTATGTGTCACTCCATCTATTTCGTAAGTGTTAACAGGACCGAGTAAGTTTTTGTGCACAAAAAATTGCTTTTTGAGAGGTCTGTCCAGACATGTAGGCTTAGAAGGTAACAAAATAGTCTGGTTTCTATCAGAGTTATAAGGCTTAGATTGCCTGCTAATGATGAATGTTGGGTGTGGGGGTGTTGGGGATTTTTTTGTATAACCTTAGAAACTCCTAAGTGATACAGTTTCACAAAACTTGTATAAATCTTTTTGTGTTTGACAGATTATGGCTACTCTTGAAGTCTGCAGCAGATGCTAACATGAATGCTCTTCGGGTTTGGGGAGGAGGAGTATATGAACAAGATGAATTTTACAATATTTGCGATGAAATAGGAATAATGGTAAAAAAAATAAACACAGAACATTTATTTAAAAACTGACAAGAACTTCTAAATAAAAATCCACTCTAAATGAACAAAATAAGAGAATTGATACATAAGTTCTAGCCATCTTTCCAAAGGATGTGGTAGAGTACCAACCTGAGAAGTCAGATCAACCTGATTTTTTTTTTTAATTTGTTTTTAATTTGAATGGTTCCTGATTACTGAGGCTGTCTGTTGAAACTGGAAGTGATATTTTGGAGACTTTATATTAGAACCCCAGCTTGTATTTTCTCTTTTAACCAAGGCTACAGCCCTGTTTCTGACTCATCCCTACTTCCCTTCCCAGCCCAGAATCTCCCCTTCATCTCCCCTTCCTTTTCTCCCCACCATCTTTCCCATCCCTCCCTCCCTTACATTTCCCCAAATCAGAGGAACAGGACTGTGGCTTTAACTTTCTGTCTTCTAGCTCTTTTCAGATCAAAACTCTCATCTTTATATACTGTACCTCTCTCCCAGTTCTACATTTCCTGCTCTCTTGGGAAAGAATGAGAGAAGAAATGAATGGCTGAGGGACTGGTACTAGTGATGTCACTTAATGCAGGAAGATGATGTTTACACTGTAATGTTGAGCATGATAGAAGAACTTTTGTGGACTGTAGGCATCAACAGGGACTTGCAACACTCAAATAGTTGTGAAACAAATAGTGCATGGGAGGGGAGTTATTCACAAGATCAAATAATATTTTTTCCAAAGCAGCCAGACTGTGGGGCCCTGTAGCTGTGTTTAGCGTTTACTCATGCGAGAATAGCCCTGCTGAAGAATATGAGTGCTTGAGTATATGCCCCAGATTGGGAGCAGAGGCCTTGCAATCTGACCTCAATGAGGATTTAAAGGGTGCTGTATTTGAGTTTTGAGCTTTTGGCCACCTCCGAGTTACCAAAACACCAAAGAAGGTAGTCATGCTTTTCTCTGCTGTGGAAATTAATTTTATTTCTTTTAAAAGTATTTTCTCCTTCATAGCAATAGCTGAAAAGGTTTGGGTTTTTTTTGGTTCAAACTTTTTAAACAAAACTATTTCACTTGGCCTGAAGCCAAGCATGAAAGGCCTTATCCAAAGGGCCATTTTGAACAAGCTACAATTGAGTATAAACGTAGCTGTAAGGGGAACATCTGCTGCAAACACTGATAATCCTAGATGAGTACCTTTGATTATATGAGCTTGGAGGCACATGTTAATAAGTTTTGATGAAATAGTGACTAGATGAGCGAAGGCCAAGTTGCATCTGGTATGAAAATCCCAAGAAGTGTGTTTGGTCTTACTCTACAGTATAAAAAGCAGGGGGAAAAAATTGATACCTTGCTGCCTTCTGCTGTGTGAGCTTGAAAAAAATAAAATGTTACATCTATTTTAGTCATCTGAATGAGTGCCCTGATTTTCAGGGCTTCTGAGCACTTACAGTTCTTTCATTTTTGATACTAGGCACCTAAGTAGGCCACTTAGATCTGTGCCTGTACAGTGGTCAATGCAAGATTTAGATCTTACTTAGCAGCCAAAATAGCAAGTAGATGCAGAAAATCAGACCCTTACTCTGGAGGGGGTGGTGCTGGAGGCTTTTGGTTTTGTTTCTTCTGATGGTCTTGCAAAGGCTTAAAAGTGCATTAGAGTCAAACTGTGCTTAAGGAAAAACAGTGATAGCTCACTGAGGGAAATAGCAAAAGTTTTTTTCAATAGAGAGTTTTGACTCCACACAGTCACTGAAGGATTCTGAGTGATTCTTCAGCAATAGCTTTGCTTTTTTTATACAGTGCTAGGAGTGTAACAGTTATTAATGGATCCATTACCTCCCACTGTCCTGTTCCCTATCTTCAGTTTTCTTAGGGAATGTACAGTGAAAAGAGTAATGGAAAAGCATATTCTCACTGCAAGGAAAATGCAATTGTACGAGGAGCTGGTCTGGCTCTCTCTATTGTTTATGTAGTATGGTGTTCACAAAAGTGTAGTCTCCTACAAACTCCTTTGGGGTAATGTGCTTTTTCAAGAGATCTTTCCATTAACATTTGAGAGAGACTATCAGGAGTCTCAAAGTTACAGCAATTTAAAAACCAGAACAGGTAAAACAAGAAATCTTACCCATCTAATTGGGCTGGCTTCTTTCTTTCCCCTTTTTTGTAATTCTTCAAGGTACAGATGAAGTTCACTGTTGAATTGAAAGGCTTGCTGTTCTCTAGTGGTATCTACTCAAGCTTTCTTTGAAGAGAAAGATCACTGTGTTGTTAGAGGATCGAGTTTGTTTCTGCCCCTCTTACTGCATAAGATTTGCTTTTTTAAGATCAGTTTGCGTATTTGGTATGGAAATGTTTTGTTAACAAGTACACTTGAACCTCTGTTAAGTGTGCTCCATAACACATGAGAAGAATTACTGTCTCTTTTTAATAAGTAATGGGGATTTGGTGTTACACCTGCAAAGTAGTAAATACAAAACTGTTCTGTTCAGTTGGAGTTGCCCCACGTTCACATTTGAGCAGTGCATGGGTTCTAATTATTCCATTGAAACTTACTGAACTCCATCTACTGAGCAATATTCCACTCATCAGTGAAGACTCTCAGGATCTGATTCCTAAGGGTAAATATTCTGCAACTCTGATATTGAGGAAAACCACAGTGGAGTATGCACATACTGAACCCCATGGAGGATGTGATTGTTTTGGTGGTACTTTACACAAATAACAAATAGAACATTTAACTTTAATTCTTTTTGAGATAAATTACTTCTGTCTGAACAAAGGATTGTGTATCCCAATAACCATATATTTTTCAAGTATGTAAAATGATTTGCTAACAGATGGGTTTTTTTGTATTTTCTTTCCTTTTCCCTGTAGATTTGGCAGGACTTTATGTTTGCATGTGCGCTATATCCAACTGACCAGAATTATTTAGAATCCGTAAGAGCAGAAGTTTCTCATCAGGTATTTTGTCCCTGTGTTGAAGCTCTATTTCCCATTACCTATTTTTGATTGACTGATTGTATAAGTTAGCTTTCCAAAACCACTTATTTGGAAGTGTTTGTTAGTGTACCTTTATGTAGCAGACACGAAGCGTAACCTTGCTAAATCCCCTTTAACTTACTTGCAGGAGTAGTCAGTCAAGCAGAGGTACATGCCCAAACTGCCCTCTTCTCAAGGATGTTTAAGAGCATTCACTGCGAGTGAGCTCTAACGATTGCAACATGCCTTAGCACAGAATTTACCCTTCACATGTGGCTGAGTAGATAAGGATGGAGGTGCACATGTGCATATGATGGATATGTGTCAGCATATTAAAAGTTTGCCCCTCTGTAAGTGTATATTACAAAAGTTTGAGCCTGGTGGAGAGTTGAGGGAATAGCGAACAGTCCAGATAAGAATAGGAATTGTAGGCTTAGCATATGTAATATGCATGTGTATTTGTAATTCAAGTACTAATAATGTGATTTTTTAAAAATTATTATTTTTAAGAGAAGTAATTTTGCTTGACTTCTGAAACTGTAAGTTGTATTTCAGGTAAGGCGTTTAAAATCCCATCCATCAATTATTCTATGGAGTGGTAACAATGAAAACGAAGCAGCAATTGCAAGCAACTGGTTCTCCATACCTTATGCTGACAGAGAAGTCTATATCAAAGACTACGTGTTGCTTTATGTGAAGAATATCCGAGAAATAGTTCTTACTGTAAGTGATCTCAAGAAACTGTAGGGAGATATGGCTTGGCAAAAGGTTTTAATGTTTGCAATTTGAGCAACTTGGGATTTTTTTTTTTTTTTTAATCCTTTTGGGAAATGAAAATCAGCACATTATTGGGGAATTGCACTTTCCAAGGTCTTGTAAACAGCTCTCTGAACTCAAGGGTTATCCTCAAAGTAAAACAAACCAAAAAATTACATACATCTTTAACACTTCATGGTATGTAAAGGAATACCTTAAAATGTCGTGGATCTTGCTTCTTATTTCTAATACCTTCCTATTTTTAATACCTCCACAAATGCCTTCACTTCCAGTGGACCAAAATCAACTTGCCCATTAATTAATCTAGATGATCAGATTTCCTTTATCCTGATTTTGTTGAAGGATACTGCAAGAAGGATTTAACAACCTTTTAATAGCAATTGAAGAAATTCATAAAGATGTGCTCTTCTAGTATTTGATGTAAGTTTTTTGGCTTAAGCAGGTTAAACAAAAGCTATGCTAAACATTGTCCTCATGTAGTCATTATATTGTGTGGTTTTGAAAAACAGACTAATGGTATTTTACAGTATATGAAGGCAAAATAAATATTTTGAGATAAAACTTAAACTGTGAGCATGCAGACCAGAAGCACCTGGAATCCGTGATGAAGTCTGCTGTGGCTTGGCACTACTCATTTTGCACAGCTTCTGTAGTTTTATTTCTCCTCCTAGAAGTATTGCAGTTCTTCATTATTTAATGGAGTCTGTTTTTAACTAACTTTTATGTGTGTATGTAGAGTGAAATTGATGTAAAAGTCCCAAATTCATGTCACATAACTGCATAAGGATTAACAAACAATGTCTGAACCGAATCCCACAGTATTCTAAACTCCCCTTAGCTAAGAGACAAAATGTTGCAAGAGTTTTGTCCAGTTAGAACTTCCTTCTTCAACGAGAGTATGAGTTTTTGTTAACCTAAAAATGCTAGTGGCCTTTTCCTACCCAGTTATCCCTTGCATAGTATGATCTTACTGACTTCAGGGTATGATAATTTTAGTCTAATCTCTGTCCTTTTCATTATGAGATACATTTCATGTTATGAGGCTCGTGACCTGAAGTTCCCTTTGCTAAGACAGACACTCAGTATGTAGGTGACAGCAATATTATTGCTTGTTATTGGAGGCTACAGGCATTGTCAGAGTAGTTATACTCTGAGAATTTAGAATACCTTTCTACTGGAAAAGTTGAGATATGAGGAAACAATAAAAATGAGGCCAGGTTTGAAAGAACCTGCTCAAAAGGATCCTGCTCTTCAGGGCAGTTATGCATTCTAAATGGTAATGGTATCTTACATTCCTGCTTAACATCTTGATTCTAAATTTCTATATTTCAGTTAGTTTTTTTGGAACTGAGTTTTTCGTAAAGGTATGCTCTGGTGTTTCTGTGATTAGCTACGTGAGTTGGATGGCCAGTGCATGTATGGCAGTAAGGTGTTCTGGCTTGATGTTGTTTATAAGTTACAGTTCACTTGTGCAGTGTTGCTGTCCAAGACAGACCCTTTTTTATTTTAAACCCATAGAATAACTATTTTGAGTGCCAGAAGGAACCATACAGTGAAATAATTTCAGGTCTTGTGTAATATAAGCCAGCTGAGGAAACCTGTAACTTCTAGCATTACTGGACTGTATAACTCAAAGACTTCCAAGTTTGAGCTAAAGACTTCAGGGAATCCAGGATATCTTGTAGTAAATAGTAAATTGTTTCAGTTAATTATTAATTACTCATGTCAAAAAAAAAAAGATGGGGGAATGGGACTATTTCTTAAAATGAAGCACATGTTTAAGTGCTTTGCTGTATTGGAGCCAATTGCTGTAAATTGTGACTGGTAACTAACTCAGGCCTCTATCTTACTACAAGTAGGGTGCTAAATGAATTATACCTGCAAAAGGATTCCTTCAGTACTTTGTAGGGTACTGCTAAAAGATTTAGTATACTAAATCTACTGAGGCTATAAATAAAGGCAGCTCTGAATGATTTGAAATGTAACCCTTCTTATAGTCTCATCTATCTTAACATGCAGAGCTGGCCAAAATGATAATAATCTGCAATGCTACCATGCAAGCATTAGTAGCACAATACCTTGGCTTTGTTAGGACTGAATTTAGGTGACTACTTAATAAGAAAGGGGAAAATCATGGCCTTGTTCCTGCAAAAACACTGCAAAAGTAATGATTTTCCATAAAGAAGTCGTAGTACTCAAATTTTAATGTTCCTTGAGTTTATTTTTCACGAGGCACACTTAAAATAGCTTTCATTAAGAATTTAGAAGCATATAAAGATAGAAAATCTCTAGATGTGAGGAGAGAATCCCTTAGAACAGCACAGCAAGCAATATCATGCCCAGCTGTCCTCCAAGAACATAAATAAGAAGTTAATGAAGCAAGTAAAGATGATGTATGTCAGAACACAAAGTGGAATGTTTCTTAGGTGGTGACTCAGAAATTTGGAAAAGCCATGTTCTCCCCACCCCCTTTTTCAAAATGTGGTCTATGTATTCAGATGATAAAAGCCAGTCACTTTGTTGAGGGGGTTGTGTTTTGTTTTGTTTTGTTTTTAAATCCCAGGAAGATAAGAGTCGTCCTTTTATTGCATCCAGTCCCACCAATGGCTTGGAGTCAGTTAAAGAAGGTTGGCTCTCCCAGAATCCTTATGATACCCATTATGGTGACACTCACTTTTACGACTACAGCAATGACTGCTGGAACTGGACAGTGTATCCTAAAACGCGTTTTGCTTCAGAATATGGATTTCAATCCTGGCCTTCCTTCAGTACAATCGAAAAGGTAAGGCTGGGCTTCCACACCTTACTGTCCCTTCTGCTCTCATTTAGTGAGAGTCTCTTCCCAATGAACTACAGCATCTGAACTGTAATTGGGATAATACGTTGTTAGGTGGAGTATGGCACAGGTGGGATAGAGGTGTGTGATGCTGTGGAGGAAGAGGATGAAACTGGACTGTTTCCCTCCTCGGTGTTCAATGTATTTACCTTGATGTTACAAGAGGAACCAAGTTTAGATGAGAGACTATTATAAGAGTACTACTAATAGTAATTCTATTTAATATATAGCTTAGTAATTACTGCCTAACATCTGTTTCCTTTTGCTGTGTCTAAGGATATGTGTTCATTTAGAAACAAGAAACATTACAAATGCTGAATTGTGCTAAATTCTAAAATGTATTGATTTTTATCTTTTTTATCAATTTCTTTTACTTAATTTGTTTCTTTATGTACGGCATAAAAGAGGATTTGGTTTTGTCTCCTGTTAAATTTAGATATTGTATATTCTCTTATTTATCTCGTTGTAGCAGAGATATATCATGCTGTTTGTCCATTTGTTCAGAGAGATGAAGATTGTGTTGATACTCATGCATACAACTAAAAGGACTTCAGAATGTTTCTTTCAATTTGCTGGGCAAAGTATATTATCTGGGACATAATCAGTCATTCATCCATATTAATAACAATGAAAATTATTCAATCCAGCCTAAAAAGGAACAAATTTAAATAAAAAGATTTTATAGAGTTTGTAATTGTACAATGAAAGCTTGACAATAATAGCTGTATGAGCTATGCTGCATTGTCGTCCTTTGTTTTCAGAGGCAGGTTTTGAAAATACACACATTATTAGAAATTACAGCCCTACTAACTTCTGTAACTTTTGTGCCTAAATGTCTTTGACTAGAGTACATTCTTCCATCTTAATCTAGGGTGTTTCTGGTTTCCTATGAATGCAAGCAAACCTCTGAGGTCCCTTGGCTAAACTGAACCTTTGGACAACTGCTGTCAATCCAAAAGTTGCTCTTCTAGGTTCAACAGCAATGTCTGTTTTCATTTATTTGTACAAGGAGTATAAACAAATGGTGTTATTGATTAAAAATCCTTGCGTGACTGCATGAGGCACTATAGAAATACACTACCAATTTTAAAGGTTTTGGGTGATGTCAGCAGGCTGTAATGGATGTCCTTTCCTGAATATCCTGTCAGTCATTAAATGCACGTTTTGCCTTTTTGTTCTGATTTCTTAGTTTTGTGGTTTTTAAAAGGTTTCCTCCACTGAGGACTGGTCCTACACAAGCAATTTTTCTCTCCATCGACAACACCATGAAAATGGCAATGATCAGATGCTTCAACAGATTGGTCATCATTTCAAGCTTCCCCAGAGCACAGATCCCATAAAGAAGTTCAAAGATACAATTTACCTCACTCAGGTAACAGTGATGTCTTCAGTATAAGTAGCTGTCAGTATTTGTTCTATTAGATACTGTCAGCGGTTAAAACTGGGCCTGTTCTCTTAGGTAATGTTCAGTTATATAGAAAGTTTCTGCACTGAAGCATTGGAGAGTCCAGTTTAATTTGGGACTAGCTTGTCTCTCATTTATTGGCAAGAGACTCCAATTTTCATCATAGAAGGGCTGGAATGCTTCTTGGGGAATTTCCCAGAAAGTGGCTCAACTGGGAGAAAGTCTGGCTGCTGGCTGCATGTGCTACCTTGGTCTCTGTCCCCAGCTGGGCCCACTCATGAAGCTGGCGGGGGATGCAGGGATGTGTGGGCCTTCCTTGGTCCCTGATTATTCCTAGTGCTACACTGTTACTCCCTGTTCCAGGGTGGGTATGTTTTGCTCTTCATGTGGCCCTTCTAGGATTACTCTTTGATTTTTGGCACAAGAAATACATGAGCTTTTGAAACAAGATTGTTTCTAGAGAATGCAGTTCTCTATCAATGAGATTATTAGTAGCTTTTATTTTGTTATGGACTTAGATACTGATATTGTAGAGAATCTATTTTGGTTTGGATTTTTTTTTTTTTTTTCCAAATCAGTAGGTTATATTTTGCTCTTCATCTGTAGTAGTTTACCTCATGCTTGTTTCTGTCTTCATGATTTCTATGTGACTTTTAAGTGATGTTAAGTAACTTTTTAATGCTATTTGGCACGTTTAAAGTGCTGTTAGTTTTTGTTGTGTTCCAAGAATTTCAGAAACACTCTTGATGGGAATAACTGTACTTTCACTAAGTTTTTAATATTTGAGAGCTGCTGTCAGCAAGTTTTATATAAAAGCAAAACAGCTGGAGAACTTTAAGCACTGATGACAAGAGAACAAGGATAGATGCTGCTGCAAAATTGAAAACAGGGGTAAAACTTGTGCAGTGAGGTCCTGACTCAAAAAGCTGTGAGAGTTTCTGGAGGGTTAAGTCTGTCAGGGCATTATTAACAGGTTAAACAATTTGAGAATACTAAAATAAGGATAGCAAAAAGGACAAGGAAAGTAAACTTGGCTCTAGTGGTTAACTAGAAGTGTTATCTTTACCTTTTGAGCTAACCTAAAGAATAACTTTTTCCTTTATTTTGAGACTTTCTTTTAATACCTCCCCAGCCTAGTAATATACTTTGTGAAGACAATAACAGGCTGCTTGGCTTCTATTGAGAACTTGGCCAATGAAAAATTCTGAAAAGTGTTTTTTAAAGACAAGGTGAGGAAGGAGAGAAGAAGTGGGAGTGCAGGTGAAAAAAGGTTGCTCTTTCAGTGCACAATTTTGACTTTATACTTGGAATGTGTGTTATGTTCAGAGCATAGGTATGTGGATACCATGGTAATGTATACTGGAGGTAGTGCAGCATAATGTCATTTTGTAACTGTCGGGATTTTTATTTGCATTAATTTAAAAAAATTATTTAAAATTTCTTTATCTTTCCCTTGTCTTCCATTTGCCTTTCAAAGATCCTGTTGCCCAGTGATCTTCACTGGATGAAAGCAGGAAGTAACCCCTTCAGAGTTTCTGTAAAGATACTGCTTGTAAAGCTGATGGGAGCTGCTAGGAATAGATATCCTTCAAGCAGAGGCCCACTGCACTGCAGGTCTATACTCTTGAAGTCTCAAGTTTAAAGTTATGTACCATTGCTGTGAAGTTTGTGTTGTGTGTTAATATATACACAAATGCTTTACAATGCACCAAATTTTTTTTTTAATGTGTTTGTTGACCAAGGTGATGCAGGCTCAGTGTATAAAGACAGAAACGGAATTCTATCGTTTTAGTCAAAGTGAAATAATCAAGGGAGAGGGACACACAATGGGAGCTCTGTACTGGCAACTCAATGACATTTGGCAAGCACCTTCGTGGGCTTCCTTGGGTAAGTTTTGTGAATCTGGTAAAAAGCACCAGCTATCAGTCTTGTTTTGTTTTCCTCATCTGGAGGTATCAGAATAAGAAGTATGGCTCTGCTGTCTCTCTTGGGCACCTTTGCAAACTTTGAACATGTTTTTCTCCATCCTTTAGAAATGCTTTCCAGAAAAGTGTTTTTCAGGATCATCCTAATAGTCTGTGAAAGTGGAAGAGAGTGAAGAACAAATCAATTCTTTTTCTATGGAAGTTTTTCTGTTTAAGTTCAGATTTAACAGCCACTAACTCTTATCCTTGTTTTAGCAAGGTTTAGTTTAGAGAATGTAAATTGTATTTCTTAAAAATACATTTTTTTGTTTAAGCAGTATTGTGATTTTTTCCAAGGAAATAATATCATTGAAGCCAGACAAAGCTGCCTATTAGGAAGCAGTGATGGTTAAGATTGAGGGCATAACCTCCTTGTGAGGTAAACTTTCAACTACCCTTGCTTTTCTTATGTAGAGCTGGATCTTCCTGAAACTGTGTGTTTTTCCCAGAAATTTTGCATTTTTTGCAAGTTTAATTCTTTTAAAATTAGAAAGATAAATTCTTTTAAAATTGGAGACTTCTAAGAAATTCTGTTTCCAAAAGGGCCTGTCCTAGAAATCCCTGATTATATTTATTGGCTCAGCTGTACAGATGCATGTGTGTACCCAGCCACCCTGGGTAAGAATGGACAGAGAGGGAGCTAGTGGGATAGGAGGTTAAAAAGGAGCACCAGTGTATAATTATGCTTTCCATAACCCCAACAAATTTGGTTGTTTTTGTTCCCCCCGCCCTCCATGGTAAAATGATCAAAACCTTTCCCTTCAGTAGGCAGTAGTGCACTGTCAAAAAACCTACAGAACTGTGATCTTGTTCTGAGCAGGATGGGATTTAGTATGTAAAGGCTAGGCATCTAGATTTCTTCTGTAGTCAGTTGGGGGAGAGATGGTTATCTCCAGAGTGTGATTCATTGTGTCCTTAGCTGTCTATTAAGTGGGATGAATTATCTTCTCCACGCTGAATTTGATTTTAATAGAACATCATATGACACCTCTCACCCAGCATAGCTTCTGAGAAACCCTTTACAGGAGAAGATGACTAGCTGAGATTTGGTGTCTCACTTAGTGTCAGGTGAGGTGAATCATTCTTTGTGACTAAATTATTCTGCTAATATGCTATTTATGCACGTGATATCTCCTTATATATTATATGTAGGGTTTTTTTTCCTTTTAGAACACAAAAATGTAGTAATCAGACATATAAAGAGAGAAGTCACTTAGGCAGTAAGAAATAGGGGAGGAATGTGTGGTGTGAGGGGAGTGGCTGTGTTTCATGTTCCGAACATTTTGTCTAGAAGTCATTTTGAAATGGGCAAGCTGTTCTATGGCAGCTGTATAGACTTGGGTAGATTCTTTTTCAATTTTAGTTAATTCTCACATATTCTGTGTTTGAAAATCTTTTTTTAAGAATTTAATGTGTGAAGAAGTATGAGTGAACTAGAAAAAGCTAAGAGTTAGTGTGAAGTTCTTGATCTGTCCTCAGAACAAAATGTCATTTGGCCTTGCTTTAAAAAAACTTAGCCCACCCCATCATCCCCCTCTTTCTCTGGGAGATGTTTGCCCCTCTCCCTTTTTCTTTTTGTTCTTTTTTTTTTTTTTTCCCCTTTATTCATCCAAGCAAAGTAACTGCAACCAACAAAGGGAAACAAACCAGTAGAAGAGACAGGCTATTTTATTTAGATGTGAAGGCAGTGGTCCAACTATAATGCTCATCTTTCTGGACTTTCTAGACTTGTATTAGGAAAGGAAATATCCCAGTGTTCATTTTCATGATTTTAACAATGGCTGATGCTCTTAAGCTTTAAATGCCTCAAGAGAAAAAGACACTTCGAAAAATGTCTCTTTGTAAAGACGGGTGTATTGATAGACGAAGTGACCATAAATGCCTTTTTAAGTACAGAGCTGATGTCATTGTAGAAAATGTATCAAATACTTGAATTATTCATGTGTTGTTGAAGTTAGTTTACAGAAAAGAAGCTCAGCAGAGATACAGCTGTCCCTTTGTTTTGTTCTGTTCCCTCAGTGGAATGAGGAAAGGTTTAATATTCATTTAATTAGGCAGTGTGGTAGAGGGATTTTTGAAATGCTAATGGGTGAAATTATGCAAAACTTCAGAGAAATTAGTTTTATTTGCACTTCAGAAACACATTTCTGCATCTTGTTAGGTGGCACAGTAGTATCACCAATGAGTGCTTCTTATTTAAATCTGTTATTTCACAGAGAGCCATGGAGGGGCTTACATAGTTTCCCATACAAAGCGGAAGTGTTTCTTCATGAGGTGGGGAGGGAAGAAGGTAACAAATGTTTCTCCTTTAAGAAGTTTGCTTGGAATTGAATGAAAACGCAGCACAGCACTCCTGTCATAGTACTTCTGCCTTCAGTTTCAAACTAAACAGCTTTTACCACAACTGGGTTTTGACTGATAGCACCTAGCTGTGGGGCCGGTTGTGCCATGTTGAATGCTTTAGCATCTATGCAGTGTGTTTTGGTGAAGAGCACTGCAATACACATAGCGATTTACCTCACTTCCACACAAGTGTCACCTTGAGGTACCCAACTCAGTTGTCATGAGATTCCCTTGAACAGATAACTGGCTTTTATTGCAGGTTCAATGTTTAGAGTCCCTGGTGAGCTGAAACTACAGGCTATTATGGAGAATAATAGAACTGAATTCATGAGACTGAGGTGAGGAAAGAACTAGCAGCATGTTTCTCAGGTTGCATTTAATGGTGTGAAGTGATTAATTTAAAATCCATTCCAGGGAGAACTGTTTGTTCTCTACTCCTGCTATCAGTATAGAAAGCTTCAGGGAAGAGTCAGAAAAAAGGGTACTAGGGTCTCATTACAAACCTAATTTTAGTTTCCTGTTCTGAAGTTTGATACCACAGAGAGTGCAGACCCCATGTTATTATCAGGAAAAAATTGGGGAACTTGGATTTCTTTAAGAATTTGTTTAAATGTGGGGGGAGGAGGAGAAAAGCACCCCAGGGCTGTTTTAAATAACTTTTGGCTGTTGCCTTTGGGCGTACGTGTCTGTAACAGGAAAGTTTAAGCACTGAGATTTCTCACAATAGCTACGTGATCTCCAGATTTCTTACCTCCATTTTGCGGGCAGGGGTAGTATTTTATATGCAACTTGCCTATTTTTGAATCAAGAAATGTGACTCTGGTCTTAAGGAAATCAAGACAACAGATGAGCTGAAGAATGTGACTTTTTTTAATCAGTGAGCTTCAGTTTTCTGTGTTGTCTGAAGTTACTTTGACAATTGTATTATCAAGATCCTGTTGCTGGAAAAGTTATCTTTGGAAGACCCTTTCTGTGTGAAACTGCTCCAGTAGTTGAGCTTTGGTTCTTCAAAATGGCTCTCGTTTTTTTTGGAAGGGAAATGTCAACCTTAAAAAGCTAATTGAGGTAAGCAGACTAGTGGTGTTTTCAAACATCCCAAAACAATAGCTGTAGTAGTTGAACCCTAGAATGAATTTTGAAATGGTACAAACTTTTATGTGTGTGGCTTGTTTGCTTTTGTTTGTTGGTTGGGTTTTTTGTTTGTTTGTTTTTCTCGTGGAAGTCTAATGCCAAGTTTAGTCTGAGTTGTTTTCTCCACTGTACAGGTTTCTTGAGGACCTCTGTATCTGCTGCCTAGGTAGCAAACCTTCTGTCTTTCCCTCCAGTAACCACTGCAAGGTGGTTACATAATCCAGTTGGAAGTCAAGGCACAGCAGAAATTGAGGGTTGGGCCCATTTGAAAAGAAGTGGCATTTTATATTACACTAAGTAACAGAAACTGCTCTACTTCAATTGGATTATTCATTTTCACATTTAAGACAGTTGAAGCCTAGATTTTCACCATGTAAACTAAGCTGAGGAAAAAAATCAAGTCAGCAGGCATTGAAACTTCAGCCCATGCTGGGTAACTTGTCTGAGCTTGTGGTGGCCTCTGTCTGCGGCCGGCAGTGAGCAGCACCTATTGCACTGACAATTGAAATTCCTGAGAGTCTTGTGGAAGTCCTGAGGGCTTCAGAGAGTTCAGCCCCTCCGAAAGCCTGAGGTTAGACACAGGGCCCATTTCTCATACAAGGCCCATTGCTTTTATTTTTTTAGATCAGATGCTGCCCCACAGTTTACTCTGTTTCATATAATCCATCCTCAATCCAAATCTCTCATCTTCTCAAGTTTCATGGCCCTGAAAAGTAATTTGTTAGCACTCCCTGTTTTTGGCAGAATTGTCTTTCAGACCACCACCATTTTCTGCCAAGAATTGTCCTTGGAATGCAAGAACGTGGCTTCATTTGCATACTAAACGGCACCAATATGCTGAGTATGTTCATCAGTTTATCAACAGTCTGTTCTGAAGAAACTCAGCCGCCTCTTCTGAAGTTTTCTTTCAGACTTCATCTCTTCAGTTTGCTTCAGTGCTATTAGCTTGAATGTCAGTGGTGGTTTGTTGGCAAGCTTGATCTCATAGCACAGTTGAATCTTGTATGGGTTTTCCAGGCAGATAGGAGCTTGTCTTGTCTGTTCTTCAGGCTAGCTGGTTGTGAGCTTGCTGCAAACAAGGTGATGTGCAAGGTGCCGAGTGGCAGCTAATGCACATTGCTCTCCACAAAGTTCATTCATGTCTATGTGGAGTGCAGGCAGAGCATGTTCAGGTCTGCCTGTGAAAGCCACAAACACACCCTTTAAAGACTACATCACTCTGGATGAAGTCCTTAATTATGAAATATTTGAAAGTGCTAAGAGCTTTGTACAAGCACCAAAACACAGAGAGGTAACTAGTTACAACAAAACGGTATTACTTCAATTATTTTTCAACATCCCTGATCTTTAAACCTGTTGTATAAAACAATGAGCCAGAAACAAGAATGAAACCGGTATCTAACTTTTCTTTCCTTATGAGATGATGCAGCTGACTTGCTACTTCTTTTTAGTGCTGTTTCAATGACTAGATAATGGTTGAGCAAAGACAGAGTTAAAATGCTGACAGTGTGTGCTAGATGGAAAATTAATAGAAGAAGAAATGGAGGCATCTTCTCTTTGGTTGTGTGGCAGTGTTGCATCTGGCAAAATTGCATTTTCTGGAGAGGAAACAATGTTTGATAGCTTTTCCAGTTTGTTAATGGCAGACTATCAAAGTATTAAAAGTAATAACCCACAGCTTTCCATCAAATAGGCAAAGCAAACTGTTTGGCATGTCTACATCATGTGTCTGCTAAATCCCATACAGTAAGTGTTGTCTCTAGATTTTGGCAAATTCATTTTGCCTAACTCAGAGCTGTCTTTGGTTTGAGAACTTGTTTTTTTTGTTTTCATTGTTATTGATGTTCCTCTAAGGAAGAACTGAAAGAGGAGGACTGAAAAAAGGGGAAGACAACACTTTGTATAAGCACCAAAAGTCAGACTCTACTGTGTCTTTATAGTGGTGGTAGTTTGTGGCAATACCACCAACACCCATGTGTTTGTCTGGATTTTCAACAACATAGATGCTCCAGCTACTTAATATGTAGTACGCCGTGCCAGTTTTTTTTAATGTCACTTGTGTTTAAGGCTTTTTTTTAGTGGAACAAAAGCATAGCAATGATAGGACCAACACTTAAAAAATGTGACCTTTTGGTGAAGCTTAAAAAAAACCTTGAAAGACCATCAGATCCCTTCCAGAGCAAAGCCTTGGCTGGAAGAAAACAAGATTAACTTCAGTTATTCTCTGCACCTGATAGAGGTGAAAAAGGGTGGAGGGGGATATTATATTGCCTTAGCAAGACCAGAAAGCACAGGAAGGGATTGTATGCCAAGGCAATCTTGGATTCAGTCTGAATCTTTCTCCCTTTTAACCCTTTTCAGAATATGGTGGCAAGTGGAAACTGCTCCATTATTTTGCCCAGAACTTCTTTGCACCACTGCTGCCTGTGGCCTATGAAGATAAAGATGTGTTGTACATTTACGGTGTCTCAGATCTTCAAGCAGAGCACAAGCTGACTTTGAGGGTAAGTGACACCTCTTTCACCACCCTTGTGTCCCTCCCACAAAAATGTGAGGAGCTGAATGAGCACATCTTTGTATAGATAAGTTTCAGTAACTCCATGCTCAAACACAATGAGGTGCAATTCTTCTCTTTAATCTTCTTAGGGGCAACACTATCCTTTATTATAGTGGTGCGTACTGCTTCACAGAACAAGAAATTAATTGCCTTGCTTATAGCCTGTAGGTATGGGCCTGAAATTAACTATTCTGTTATAATCTTAAAGGGATTAATGGTTAAATAGAACAAAGTGTGAAAAATGGTACCTCAGTACTTAACAAAACTGTCCCCTGGGTGTTAGAACTAGATTAATTGACTAAGTGGGGGAAAAAAAGGATTGTACCATTAGTTGGCAGTACTCAAACTACACTGCTTTGGGAAAAAGAACTAGATTATTTTCTGAAATATCAACAGAACATCTAGGTGTACTTTAATTGCAAGGTCACCTATGCAATGTCACCGTTTTACAATTGATGCCTTAAGTGTTTTCTGATAATGCTGTCAAAACTGTTAGGATTTCTTAGGCAGTATTTGGGCTGCTGAGTTGCCCTGTAGAACACAGTCTTGCTTTTCAATTTGTTATGTTTTGTTGCTGTTAATCATATGGCAACCAGATCCCAAATGAATTTAGGGGCCTTTTGCACTATGAGATACAATTCCTGACGTAAAGGGCGTCCCATGTGAGAAGGCTGGAAAAATAGACCTGGAGACCTGGAATGACTCAGTAGTAATTTTGGAACTCATAGTATGAGTATGTCAATTCCTAATTCACTGCTCTGTTTGGCAGGCTGCTATGAATTTTCAGATTTATAAGGTTACTTATATACAGTAATATATAGTATAGAAAACAATTGCAATTTTTGGATAGTCAGTTCTTAGAGTAGGACTGCACGTAATGAAATTGATTATTTCTGGTCTGAGTTATTGTAACGGGCTTAAATTCAGATTTTCTGATAACGTCAGAGAAGCATTGGCAGTAAGGTAGTTCTGGTGAATATTATATTTTGCACTTCAAGAAAATTTGGAACTTTAAAACTTTTGAAAGGAGTTAAGATCTATTTCTGACTGTAGAGCCCTGTTAAGATCAAAAATAACCTAAATTGTATGAAGAGATAGAATGCTGTAATTCTCATTGAGTGCCTATCTTCCAAATTACGCTTTTTTTAAAAAAAACAAACTTAAGGATGCATTCATAATGCATGTGTGATCTCTGGGAATGTATATTTTACTGTATTAATATAACTTCCATAATCCCTTTTAAGGTGATGCAGCTTGCTTCTGTTTAATGGTGATTGTGCAGAAGCTCTAGATTACCCAGTTGGGTTACGTCTGATAACACTGAGCAATCTCAAGAAAATCCTTTGTTTGACATTTTCCTCTTCTCCCTGATTGAAAAAAAAAAAAGAGTCAACAAATTAGTCAGTCACTTAAAATTCCATTTCCCAGCACTCCCTTGGCAGAAATTGGCAACCCCCTCCTTTCAAGGAGCCTGGAGAAAACAAAAACCCTTGCAGATCAAGAACGACAACAGATCCAGACTTCTTGTTAGGTTTATATAATCTAATTATTATGCCATATCCATTGTTTAAATCTTTGTGGAGTTTCTTGCTAGGTGGAAGTCAGCTGGTACTGTCAGGAGAACATCTCTTGCAATAAGCAATCTGAAACCTAGGATGCTGGGTTGTTTTCACAGATGTAAATTTTCTTCTAAGCTTTGTGCTCTCTCAACATGCTTGATAGGTCGTTGTACACGCCTGGAGTTCATTGGAGCCAGTATGCACCCTTGCCAAAGACAGTGTGACTGTTAAAGCACAAAGTGCTGTCCTCATCTACATGGAGTCCATAAATAACTTGCTGGAAAGATGCAGAAACTGTACCAGGAAAAGCTGTGTTATTACTTTTTGTCTTGTGGGAGAAGGTGGGCTCCAGAGTCCTACGAACCATCACTTCCTTTCATCTCTAAAGGATGCTGTAGGATTAGAAAAGACCCATCTTAGTGTAAGCATTAGTCATGCTAAATTACTGTATTTGGTTTTGTTAATCTTACTGTTTTGTTTGCTCTGCTGTGCAGTGTCCAATTCCACTTAATGTTCTTTCTCTTTACCTGTTGCAATTCTAGCTTCCATGTTGAGTTCAAAATCAGATTTTTTTTTCCTGTGTCACTATATGCATATCTAAATAACACTGGTGGTTTGTTTTGTCTGGGGTTGGGTTTTTTTTTTGGTGGTGGTGGTTTGTTTTGTTTTAAATAATTAAGTCTCCGTTTCATTTGTTTTGTCTTTCACCTGACTGCTGCAGCATTGCTCCTTTCATTCTTTTTGTCCCTAGATAGCAAATAGCATCATGGCAAGTGTTTTGGCTTGCAGACAGTACTGTATGTCAGTACCAGGTGATGCTAGTTCAGTTGAGTATGGAGTGCATTATTGTCAGCAGTTATTTTCTCTTGAAGTGCTCAGACTCTCAGATCAGTCTACCACTGCTAATGTGCAGTATTGCATGCTCCTTTCCTCCTTCTGCAAATCCTTGCCTTCCAGCTAAGGGTTCTGATTTGCATAATAGTGATTATTTCTTAATATCTGGCAAGTGTGTCAGTCTTCTGAACAGGCACAAAAAGCATCAGTGTTGTATAACACTGTCATTTAGTCCATTGGCTGGTTTTCCCTAGATTTCTTCCGCTCCTAGCAAGCGTGCTCTATATATAGAGAGCAAGCACGCTCCATGTGTGTGTGTGTACACACGCATTTTGTTAAGTCTCACTTCTTAGCATGTAAATCTTACTGCAAAATTCTTAATCAGCAGATTGGCAGGATGGGGACCTGTGTGTTCTCACATTTGGCTTCTAAACTGCAGCTTTGCTCTGTAGAGCTAAACTAAACAAGGGGGGAATAGAGGTCTTTAATCTCTTTGAATCTGGACCAGCATAATTGCTTTACAAAAAGAAAATGGGCCAGATTTTCACCTCTTATCTCTTTCATGGCAGCACGGTCTGCCTCCTGAGTATACAAAGGAAAGAAATCAGCCTGGTTTTATTTTTTTTTCAGCTGGTGGCACAATCTGGAGTCTGAGTCATGCTGGTTTTTTTTGTGGATGACATCATCAATAATAAAAGCTCTGCACCTGGAGCATCATTGGGAAATTTCACTCCTTTTTCCCATGGCTCTGTTGTCTCCGTAGTACTAACTAATAAGGATAGCTAGCAAGCATAAATGCAAAGTGGTTATTTTAAGAAAGTATGCAGCTGTGATTTTTAAAATTATTCTGTTTTGTGAGAAGCTGGTGCTTCTATACATAGTTACTAATGAACTAACTAGACTTTCAAATACATTGCTAATCCAAGTGCTACTCTTCATAGCATTGCTTTTAAAAAACATGACAATGTGTTTCTTTAGAAAACACAAAATGTAAAGGATGTGTGCTTTTTCTTAAAAATAATAGTGTTGTCTTTCTTGTAAGCAGGATGTGTTTTCTGCACTTAATATGTCTGCTTTTTATATATAGTTAATTGGTATTTGAAAATGATGTAGCATATTTCATGATGGTGAATGGGGAGTGCTGAATGAAAATGCATCCTGGTTGTGCTTTTAAGTCTCTCCGAGATTAACTACTGATAGAACATAATATAAAACGTACCTTGTCCTGATATTTCACAACATAGCTGCCTTCTAAATGTAGTGTAAGGACTTCACTGCCATGTTCCATTAAGATGAAGTCACCTCCTGTGTTACTGTGATTTTTACCATCTTTTGTGTCTGTGTATTTCTGTTCCTGATGTAATTGGAAAGGCCAGCTGCTTTAGTAGTTGTGAATTTATAGGTTGAGTGAAGTATGTTGGTGAAAGGACAAATCTCTTTCACTGCAATAAGTATAGGATAACAGTACTAGATACAAGTCAGATTACCATTTATTCAGTTATTTTCATAAGAAGATGGTAGAGTGATAACACTTCATGGCATTTTGCCACAATCTGTAGTATTGTCGTGGTTTAACCCCAGCTGGCAACGAAGCACTGGGCAGCTGCTTGCTTGCTCCTTCCCTGCCCCCCGCCGGTGGGATGGGGAGCAGAATTGGAAAAAAAAAAAAGTAAAACTCGTGGGTTGAGATAAGAACAGTTTAATAAATGAAATAAAATATAATAAAAATTATTGCAATGAAAAGGAAGATAACAAAAAGAGAGAGAAATAAAACCCAAGAAAGACATGTGATGCACAATGCAATTGCTCACCACCCGCTGATCAATGCTCAGCCAGTCCCTGAGCAGCAGTCAGCACCCCCCCCCAGCCAACTCCCCCCAGTTTATATAGTGAGCATGATGTTCTATGGTATGGAATATCCCTTTGGCTAGTTCGGGTCAGGTGTCCTGGCCATGCTCCCTCCCAGCTTCTTGTGCACCTGCTTGCTGGCAGAGCATGGGAAACTGAAGAGTCCTTGACTTGGGATAAGCACAGCTGAGCAACAACTAAAACATCAGTGTGTTAGCAACATTATTCTCCCACTAAATCCAAAACACAGCACTGTACCAGCTACTAGGAAGAAAATCAGCTCTATCCCAGCCAAAACCAGGGCAAGTATTCTGTAGGAACGCTATAATAACCTTTGCAGTTTTTGCATGATTCTTACATATAAATCCTGTGGGTTTGACTTTTTGTTCCTGAAGAGATTTCCAGAAGAGAATAGTAATTTTGATCAAATGTGGTTGTTCGGTCTGTTTTACTGACATGCAGCTCTTTCCCAGTTTGGGTGCAACTGGGTTCTTCTTTAACATGTATATTTTATTTATTTATTTATTTATTTATTTATTTATTCCTCTTCCAGGCCTCTGTATCCCAACGAGATGACGTTTATATATTTGTCCTTCAGACCACTGCAATTGCTCCTTTTGTGTCTCTGGATGTAGGGCGTATAAAAGGCAGATTTAGTGATAACGGTTTCCTCATGACCGAAAAGAAGAAAGTGGTTGTGTTTTATCCTTGGGAGCCTACCAGTGTTGAAGAACTGGAAGAGTCACTAACCTTGACCTCTCTGGTGGACGTTGTCTGAGGATACTCCATTTTCTTCTAGATAAGGAGTGAAACAGGAGGAGGAAAAAAACTAGAAGAATTTGACTGAAGTTGAAGTGATGTACAATTTTTGCTGACCGGAGAACATACTGTCTATTCCTGTCTTGTGTGAATTTTAACTGCTGGTTGAATGTAAAGATACCGAAAGAAAAGCTTGCATATAGTATATGTGGTGTATTGAAAGTAAGGCTTTCTCAGGTAATGGGAAATATATATCCCATGTATAAAATGGGAGGGGTGAGTCGGTGCAAGAGAGCTAGTCTGAGTTCTCCAGTTCACATGAGATTGGAGTTGTGAATTCATCCTAACTAAGAGGCAACATAAATATGCACCTCCAGACTATGGTTGTAAAAATGCATATTTTTCCAGTTTCACTATGCTATAAGTGGAAATTCATGTTAGGATAACAGCAAGGTATGCTGGGAGCAAGGGGAAAGGGCAGGAAGTGAAGCTGGGATCACCTCCACAGGTATGCCCCCACTTGGAGTGGTTTGATCTTATCTGCACCCAAATCAGAAGAGCACTACCCTTTCAGATTTATGGCTGTCACTCCATCAGGTGTCCTGCCTGCCTCCTGCAATGTAGGCTTCCAAACAGACATGAAACCTGGGCTGTCTAGTCAGACATCAGGCAGATCTGTTCCCCCTTCTGAAAGGGGAATTGAGTATGAGACTTGTTTTCTTCTGTCTTTTTATGCAACATGAGCAATAACCTTGAGAGTTCTGCATCTAGCTTTGACTATTCTCAGAGTGCTGCAGTCACAAACCTTTTGCGGCTGTGTGGGATCCTGCGTAATGTGGCATAGTACGAGATAGTGGCTGGCTGTGGGAAAAGGAACAGGGAGAAGAGTTGAAAAGGTGCAAAGAGAAAGGAGATGGTACAGAGAAGAAATGGTCATGTGAGAGGACCGCAGAGTTACAAGTGACTGTTTTTTTCTCTAGTAAATGCATAGGGCGGGGGCTGCTGTTCTCACTCAGACATTGCTGCACAGCTGTTGTTACCCCCTGGCATTCCTCATGAGTGGCCCCATGCTCCACACTGATCCTTCTCTCTCTTTAGCAAAGGAAAACCTCAACATCTTAATTTTGCTTCTTTGTGCATGGGTTCCCTGTAGAAGACATTGTTGACTCCTGATTAGATCTGGTGGCACATTGAACTCCTTAGTCCATAAAAAGCAGTGGTGTTTCACCTTCTGTTCTGTTTCCGAGTAAGTTGTTTTTAAAATGTTGAGGTTTCCCATAGAAATGTCATCTCGCTTTGGCATTTGATACAAAGAAAATAAGTTTGCTTCAGCGTGGGGGGGCTGCTGTAGCCTGTGGAGCTGAAAGCCTTAGGGTTTGGCTGTCAGGAATCCAGGCCACCAAGCCATGCCATGGGCAGGTTGCTAAACATTGGGCTTGTCTGTCAGATGTGGTTTGAAAAGCAGCTGGGATCTTGCTGGGGTTCCACAGTGATCCTCTCACAGTCCAAGCAATTATTAATTTTCTTGCAAAGCACCTAGCAGAATCAGCACTTTACAATAGAAGGTGTTTGAACAAGCTCTACTGGTGATGTCCATCTTCGTCGTAAAAGCACCACATGGGTGATGCTTGGTGGTGGTCCTGGGGGTCTGGAGCATGTGTGGGGAGTGGCTGCATGTTCCATGGGTCAGTTAGAGAACTTGGAACTGGGGGTTGTTTTCTTTCAGTGATCATAGTTTTAATGGGCAAAGAGATGAGCACATTGACTGATGCTTGGTGATCTCTGGTGCTTTTTTAATTGGGCATTAACCAAAACTGACATAATCCTGAGCAAGAGGAAAAACTTAAAGATGAAATGAAAATGATAAATGGAAGTTGCTTACAAATGCTTTATTAGGTCACCAAAACAACTAACTGCAGTTGCGTAGGAGGGCTTTTCTGATTCAAAACTTGTCCTAGTTGAAAGAAAACATGAAAGCAATCAAAATATGTATGTGTATGTGCCAATGTTTATAGGTTATGGAAAATAAATAGGGAACATTATAGTCATGAATAAAACTTAACAGTTAGAAAATGCAGACATTGATAAAGGAATTCAAAAGTTACCTGAGAGGTATTCTGGGCCAACAATACAAGAAAAATCCTTCAGTTTTTTCAGTGTCCTGGAATCAAAGTGGAATCAAAGAAGCAGTAGAGTCAATATAAGGGAAGGATGAAAAAAATGTGAAGAAAATATGGAATAAATATGATTAATAAATATTGCTGCAGTGTATTAGGAAAAGGGCAGGTCTCTTCCAGCAACATCTAGATAAAATTTCAAAATGGCACTTAATAGTGTTAAATAAATAAATAAAACTTTGACAGAATTACTTGTTTCAAAGACAGTCAAGAGGACTATCTGAAGGTCAATGATATTTATTCTTAGTGTGTCTCAGAATATGAGTGAAGTTTCAGAGGTGTAGAAAAGAGCTTTTGGATTGCTAGAAGCCATAAACCATGAATTTGGATAACTGTAGCCTTGTTTACCCTGGTATGAATTTTAGGCAAAATCATTAATAAAATGATGTGGTACATGATCAATAATTGATGAAGTGGCTATGCAACTAATGCCTATCAATCAGCACTGTTATGCAGAAGAGCATTCTTTTATAATTTTTTTTTTTTTGCTGTTGCTTTCTGCAGTTACCAAATTGGCATAAAAAGGTCCAGACAATTTTTTAATTATTGTTATTTTTGAAGATCAGAAGCTCTCTAAAGAGTGGGTCCATTCTTTCACACTGGAAAGCTTTAATTCAGCACTAGGTGGCTGTTATGAAAAATTAGCAATTGCTTAAGCCAAATGCTTGAGCTCAAAACAGAATTTAATGGGGAGGTTCACTTCCATTATTGTCTTAATATCCTTAATATGTTCTTTTGGTTTCCTGGTGTTGTAGTAGGTATGCATTTATAGATGCTATTTTCTTCTGTCCCCCATGCAGCAGCGGCTGTAACATGTACCTTGGTTAACCATTTCCCCTTGGTACTTTTGCTGTTGCATACTATGCTATACTTGGTTACGTTGTTCTGCCTTTGTCTTGGATCAGGGCAAAGACAGGAATGCAACAGTGAAGAGATCTTCGGAGTTATCCATCACTCCTATCGACACACCTATCTGTAGCCATCTGAGTGTTGTTGCAACTACTTGGCAGCACCTGTATTGCCAGTTGTATCTGACGGGCTGGGGATCAGCAGCAGGAGCATTAGGAAGAGCATTTGGTAAGTGTCATGGTGCTTGTCCTCAATGTCATTAAATTATTGGTGACAACAGTAGAGGGGAATGACCTCATCAGTATTCTTTTAGGGTGCAGCCTTGCAATGTTTTTTGTTCAAGGAATCACTTGGTTTGCTTGTGCGGATGGCCTTTGTTTGCCTGTGGATTGAGCCAGGCTCTATGGCCCAGTGAGGAGTTGGGTAATCCAGAACAGGAGCTCTAAATGAGAATGAGTGCTGTCTGTTGAGCAGGTGGCCTCATGGGGAAGGGTGCCATTGTCAGATGCAGGAGCTGAAAGTTTTGGTCCTTTGCCATGGTGGTGAAAAATCAAAACCTTAAATGCTGTCCTCTTATACCTCTTTGCAAACATCGTGATCACCAGGCTTTTGCCAGCATTGTAGCTTATCTCTCTTGTCTTGTTGTAGCAGTCCTCCTTTGCCTGTAGTAAGTAAGCTAGCTAGATAGTAATACTCTGGCATGCTGGCCCTGTGATTCTGTCATACCAACTAGCATGTGATATACCAGGATTTAAGCATTCAGCACTGCAGGCTTCAGCTCACTTACCCAACAACTGTAAAGGAGCAATGGTGTGAGCCAGCCCTCAGGTGGTTTCCTGTGAAAGAAAGAGTGGGAAGCTTTATCTCTTGTTAAGAGTTGTTACTGGTAGGATGGTAGGAAGCTGCAGTTGGGCTGCCCAGCCTGATCACTGGTGAGGAGCCAAGGACAGCAGAGGAGCTTCTGTGAAGAAGCAGGCCCAGTCTTCAGGACAGTGAGGTGGTTTGTGCATCAAGCCATCTGCTACCTCTCTGGAAGCGCTCTGGCCACAGCTTTTGGTTTGTACTGTAGCCAAATGTAGAGTTTCTTGCCTGGGATGCTGAAAACAAGAAAATACTGAGGTGATTGCACACCTAAAAGAGAAGTGAGGCATTAGTCACGCTCCTGGCTTTCTGGCAAATGTCATTGTATTAGCTAGCCCAGAGGGCATGATACTACTCTGTGTGTGCACGTGAGCGCACGCGTGTGCCGAGTCAGCTGGAGTGTTGGCAAGTGCCGCTGCAGGCCACAGGTTAACTGATGTTAAGTCAGTCACAAGTGTTTCCCCTTGCAGTGTGTAATGAAATCCACTGATCTTATAGCACTCTTCTGTATCATGAAAATAGCAAGGGTAAATGGATGGTTGAAAAATTTCTATAGCAGTTGCTTTGAAATGAGTCCATGGGGAAACCTCTACAGGCTTTGAATAATGTACATACTATAGCCTGGCTCTAAGCAGGGCATCAAACTGCTTCATAACCCTGAATAGAGAAAAGCAACTCCTAGGTAATTAACTTGTGCTGTCTTTTGCTTGTAGCTATAGGAATCTTTTGAAGCCAGCAAATGTTCAGACCACGCCTTTGGCAGTTACTCCAGAACTGCTCTACTGTAAGAGATGATTGTGTGCTCCAGAAGGGCTGAAAGCTGTGGATGGTGGGTGAGTATTGAGCATTGCACCCTGAGCTAATGAATGGGCACCACCGTTTCTGTCACTTAGTTGGAGGGAGAGAGGAGGGTTGCTCTTTTTCCTTAAATATAGGAAAACAGTATTTCAGTTGCCCAGAAAAGGGAGAAAAGACACTTCATATATCACCACATGCAGGCAAGATTCTCAACCTTCCTGCAGTCCATAAAATCTCTGAATGCAGCCTAGAACTTCCCACAACCACGCTGATTTCCAAGTTTCTAAATACATCCCAAGATGACACGAGAAACTTACAGCTGTGGCAGCAAATGTAAAATCAAGGGCAGTTTAACTTTCTGAATAATCCTTTTTACATCAAATGTAGAGAAGATCTGTAGTGTTCTGTTGTCACAACTTAATTTTGCTGCATACCGCAAGTTTCTGGCATTTATTACTGCAGTAGAGTAGCAAAATGTAGTAAGTTCCAATCACTGCAAGTGCAGATTAAGTTTAGAATTATTTCAGCTTTTGATCCTCACTGTAATTAATTTGATACTAAACTTGACTGAGAATGCCCGAAGGTTACAGTTCTCTACGTTCCAGAAAAGAAGTTTAATTAGAAAACCTTTCTTATTTTGGTATTGATTCATTTGAATATTGCAAGTGTTTCCAGATAAATCTGTGCAGTTGCTGTCAAAGCGACAGGAACCATGACTAGCACTCAGAAGGACAAACCCATGAAATCAGCTTTTAAGGATCAGTTTGAGGTTGTTGGTTGATGCTTTTTGACCACACCTCCAGCCTCTGGGCTTTAATTGCTAATGGAAATACACACCGAGCTTCCCGCTGTACGATGCAGTGCATTATAAGAAGAGCCCACTGTGGTATGAGCCTAGTCAGTACTTGGGTTCATCCAGCCACAGGGCAGAGGTGCCCTGCTCTGAGTAAGTAAGAGCTTGAGTTTGCTGGGGAAGTCTTCCTAAAACTTCTAATGGAAAAAATATAACTCCAGAATTCTTGCTGTTCATGCACATATCTTAAAAAAACCCCAACTTATTCCTAACTGTTGAGAACTTGGTGAATAATACCTTTCCCAGTTTTGTTTCCTCAGAGGTAATATGGAATAGACTGGGCACAATACCTTGTGCTACAAGGTCTAGTGAGGTCCACATGCTAATTTACTGTGCTGAATGAAAATGTAAGATTCAGTTACACCATTACTACCCACTTTTTTGTTGGTAAGTAAGTGAGAGGTTTCTCTCCATAAGCCAGGTGTAGACAGGAGCTCTCAGGCAGTGAATTCCTGGATTCCTGCGGTATTTTTTAGTTTAGTTTATTCCATCACATTTGTGAAATAGGAGTAGCACTTCCTTTCTGGGCAAGGAGGTGTAAGGCTAAAACTGTGTCTGAGGTGAGCACATATGATGATGAGGCACATAAATAGATCTTGATAGGTCCCCGTTAGGAAGAATACATCTGCTTGAAATGTTTCAGTTGACTTGTGTCCATCGCTTACACTTTACCTTGCTAAGCCTGGTTCCTCTGTATGCTGCCTTCATCCTCATACCTGCAAGGAGCCTGGCCTTCTCCCAGATGCCATCAGTACAAGGCAGTGTGCCCTGTACAGGATGACCACCTACTAATAAGAAAAAAGATAAAGCAGAAGGACTAAAGCTGTGTGTTTTAGCATTATCTTTTAATTCAGCTGCTTGAGGTAAATACTGGGCTCTCCAGTAGGTTTGCTCTGCCAGACGAGAACTACAGAAGAAGACGACACAAATGTCTCCGACTAGGTGTCGTGCCACTTTCTGTAGTGAGTTCTACACTAGCTGGGGTTCTACCTCCTACTCTCGCCTAGTTCTGACAAACTGCGCGGCATGCCTGCAACACATACTTAAGATGCTAAGGGTTAATGCAATTGGGAAAAGTTGCCCTATTATGTGATGCGCCTGTAAAAATTTAGTGTTCCTGTTTGACTTAGTAAGAATACTTGTAAATTAATATTTTTCTATTTCTAAACAAAAAGGGAGAAAAAAAAAAAAAGGACCAAAGCCTCTGTTGTTAAATAGGCTGAAACTGAGATGCTGCAAGGAAAGAAGCTGCCAGACTGCCATTTAAAGCACTTGAATACACAGGGCCTAGGGGAGATGGCCTGCTGTTCATTGCATGATCACTAACCTGATGAATAGCTATTATGCAGCATTTGGTCATGAAGTGCTTAAGGAAATACAGACCCAGGTGTCTTCTGGTGGTTTAAAAGCAGAGCTGATCAGAAATAAGGCTAAAAGGTGTGAATCAGCAGCCAGGACACCCTGGTGACCTGCAGGATTGTAGAAACCTCATAAAAGTTTCTGCCAGCCCCAGCTGGAAATTGTGGCAGCAGAAGGTGCATTTAACTCGCACAGCAGCTCTGCTAGGGCTCAAAAAGCTCCTCCACCTGCAGAATATGAGAACCTTTGCTTGTTTCTGTTACAGCTGGAATGCAAAGAGAACAGTGGACAGGTACCTTAATTGAACAAAAAATCCATATGCCTTTGACACTGCATTTGTAGGTTATACATACTGTAACAGAAAGAATGGCATTTTTACTATTATGCATCTCGTTTCTCTGGAAGTAATTAATGTACTCAGTAATTCAGCTGGATATAAAATTACTTCAAGTTTTTTTCTCATTACACATGGTTTAATTCATTACAGCAAATACTGCTCTAAATGTAACAATTCTCAAGGTTTATCTTGATTTGTTTTCTCAGGAGTGACACCCAGGTTACTGAAGACTGAGCTGAGCTAAGAACACCACTGTCAATCTCCATCTTTGTGCCAAGAAAACTGGCTACAAGGGAATGACAATGGTATGATGCTGCTCGTTGCTTTTTCATCATGAAATCTGATACCTGTATTCTTAGTAGGGCCAACATCTGTAACAGTTACACTCACCCTCTCAATTTAACATGCAACAGGAAGAAATACTGCTCAGGAACACAGTTATTAGAGGAGTTTCTAGACAGCCCAAAGAACTGTCTCATCAGAGCTTTGCTGAGATGCTAAATAGTTGGTTTCAGTTGGTAAATTATTCTCTGCTGCCATAATTATGAGAAGAGACCTAAAAGAGACCATGAATCAGCACCTTTAGTTCTAAAGCACAGCTGCTCAGCAGTAGCTGATGCTCCTGGTCTCCCACCATAAAATATAGTTAAGCTTTAAGACAGGTGGCTTGCAACCCTTGATTTATTTTAGCACTTGGAAATCAGTATAATCTTGTATCAATACCTAAATCTTCAATAATGCTACTTGAAAGATATGTAAAAATTACAGCAAGTGTAGACAAGAGATTTCATTTTGGGTTTTTATTATAAAAGTAAAATAAAAATAAGCATTTAAAAAGCCCTTTTTTTTTTTAAAAGGAACAGATATTAAAAAAAAATATCTATTTACAAGTAGGAAAATGCCAAACTTGAAAATTTTTTTGAATAAGAGGCACCACAGTTAAGTTTAAATACATTATTTGAAATATACAAGATGCTTTTTTTTAGGATTTTTTTTCTGAGTTGTCACTGTGATTAATGATTTTTTTTCTTTGCCACGTATTTTATGAGCTTTTTTCATGCAACTGTGCTGCAAAAATTATGAAGAGAGCAGCTAGAAACAGTATCCTTTGATTGCTCTTATCTTGATTGCCTTACCTCTTTTTATTAAGTGAGTTGGTATTATACATTAACAAAGAGCAACTTTCATATATAAAAGGACATCCTCGCAAACCAGAGAAGCTCAGTCAGTCATTCACAGTGTCCAGTCCTGTGTACTAATGCAGCAGTAGAGCCCTGGTTATTGTATATAGCTTGTAAATGAATAAAATTTAAATGTATTTGAGGAAGGAAGCAATGGCTAGGAGTCATGTGCTGAAGTTGCCATTGGTTCAGGTTCATATGTGGTTCCTCCAGCGCACTTTTGGTTGTAAATTCACTTCCCTCTGGCCAGGATCACACAGATGTAATTTTAAATGTCACGTTCGTTCCTGTAACTGCATATTGCTTATTGAATATTACTAGTTGGCTATATAATTGCTTTGCACTGAACTTTCATGTCCATAGCCCAGGGTCATTTTGCTAAGTGTTGCTGATGACTTGCTGTTCAGAGAGTCTGAATAAGTAAAGCTCAGTTTGCGGAGGGAGGTCTCCACACCACTGTCACACATGCTTTCGTTGTCCTGAAATTTGCTGTTATAAAGGTCACCTGAGGGAGAGAGAAGGGAGAAAAGGGAAATATATTATTGTGTGTGTTGCTTCACTAATGTTGCTTTCAGAAAAGCCTGAGGAATGCAAACCAATAGGTCAAAGCTCTTCCATGGGAAAATAACAAACTTTAGATATTATAATAGGAAAAGCTGTGCTGAATGTTTTCAGTTGACCAAAGTATGTGATCTGATATACTGCTGGCAGAGATCAACTGCAGTTGGGGCCTGGATGGGATGAGAAGCCTGGTGCTGTGCTGACACTAATGCTGTCACCACACTAGTCAGGACTCTGCCCAAGTGGGGTCATAGCAGGGCAAAAGGTTCCCTGGCTCTCAGATTCCTAAACTTTGTGCAAGTACACAGCTCCAGGATGAGGCTCCTAAACTTTCTCATGTTACTTCACTTACAGGTTTATTTCTGAGCCAAATAAATACTTGAACAATTTTCATCTAGTAAGTGAGCCTGAAATACAAAGAAGTCAGCAGCAGCTATCTTCTATGCAAGATCCACAAAAGGAGAGCCTGACTGCAAGAGAACAGTATCTGAGTTGAAGGTATGAGGTGGGCTCAGTGTGACTAGAACAGTGCCCAGCATATTAGAGTTCAGTATTATTTTTCTAAACAACCATCTTAAAATAAATGACGTGATGCAGTCCATTCATGTTGCAAGGCAGCAGAATCCCTCTTACCCTCCTAGATTAATCTAAAGAGGCAACATGTACTTTTGAATAGGTATGAAGGTTCATTCTGTAACAGAACAAACAGTTTTCTATAAAGAGTAAACTAGCAACATTAGACCAGGATGGAGTTACTGTGGTGTTTCTTTTTTCTTTCCAGAAATACCTACAGTATTTTCACATAGGGTGTAATTTTCCACATTAGAGTGCTGGCAGCACTACCGGTATTTGAACAGGGCATCAGGAAAAAAACAAAGGTTTTTGTTACTTAACATGGCCAGGCAGTGGCTGAACATCCCTGACGACTTCCTGCCTTCTCACAACCTCTATTTTTCACAGAATCATAGAATCATTTAGGTTGGAAAAGACCTTCAAGATCATCGAGTCCAACCATCAACCATGCCCACTAAACCATGTCCTGAAGTACCCCGTCTACTCGCTTTTTGAATACCTC